TTAGCTCATCGCCTTTCAAAGCTTCCACAAAGTGTGCCAGCTCAGACGCAAGCCGCTCGGTGTCCCTTGCGTATTTCCTCAATAGCAGTTCGCGGGACCTGCGGATGAGATCCGCAGCACGATAGGTGTAGTCCTCATGGACAACAAAATCATAATCTTCCAGGGAATCCCTCAAGAAACCGCGAATATCACGGAGAAGGTTCCGGAGCTCGAAATCAGTCTTCAGGCGGTCGGCAAAGATGGTCAAAGAGGCGACGACACCGTCGAGCGGATAATTATTGGCAAAGCGTTCAATGAGAATCTAAAGAATGAGCAGAAATGTTATTAGCGCTCGTGAATGAATCAAAGACTCTTATTTTCGGTCATACGAACCTTCAATGCACGTTGAGCTGCATACACATTGGCATCCGGAAACTCTTCCGGCTTATCTGCTGCAGCACGTTCAAGTTTACGCACGAGGGAAAGCACATACTCAAATGCATGCCGGTACTCGGGTTTTTCATGGGCTTGCAGTATGAGCCTACGGAGCATGCTTGCCAATTCTTCACGCCTCTCTGGGTGCATTCCGTCCTGGCTGACAGCGATAACGCCTTGGCCTCGCTCGGGAGGAACGTATGCGGATACTTTATAAGGTTCAGCTTGCCGGGCTGCGGCGGCGCTATCGCGGTACGGTTCATTGCCGGATATCTGGCTGGTGCGCGTAGGCTCTTCGGCGCGGGTAGAGACCGTGGCAGTCGTCCGATAACCCGAATCACGTCTTTCCACCTCCGTGTCCTTGGGGGTTTGGGTTTCTTCTGTAGTGGTGGCTAGAGGTGTGGCCAGGGGGCCCTGCTGCTGTTCCACTGCTCCCTGTGGTTCATGATACTCTTCTTGCTCGGCTGCAGATTCCTGCCCTTGATATTCAGCACGACGTTCTTCAGGAACCGTCGGGTATTCTCCTCCTTTTTCGATGGTAGGGTTCGAGGGCCCGGGCATTTCTTGAAAGGCGGGTTCTGCACTGGCTTCCTCTACATAATTGCTGAAAAACACCAAGGATGTTCAATTCTTTGCAGCCAATCAATCGAGGTAAAAGAAAAAAAATGCAGCACATACTTCAAACCGCGGTCGCCTCTGATGCCACCGGTTACTTCCTGAAAAAAGAGGTTAACTTCGAACAAGAGCTTCCGAAACTCGTTGTCCGTGATGATCAGACGTGCAACAGTGAGCATTTCATCGAAGGCTGACAGATCATCAATTTAGTATGGATGCATTTTATCGCAAAAAAACAATAACAAATGACATGCCTCTTTTGCCCTCGTCACCAAGAACTTGAACGAAAAAAATCAGCATGAAGCATTTTTGGATACTGCTTCGTATTACTTACCGCCACCCTGTTGTTCTGCTCTGGTTTTGGCAGCCAAGCGAACATGCCAAACAAATCGTTGAATAACTTCGTCTCGATTTTTAGTGTCAATCACCTCCTTCACATGTTGCAATAGCGACACAAAATCTTCCCAAGCCTTATGGCCTTCTTCGCTCAACAAATGCTTGCGCTTATTAATGCTCTCGGACTCCAGAATCTTGTCAATCAAGGACATCAGCTGTTCATTCGTGGGAAGTTTACCCTCGCGAAGTGCTTCTATCGCCGAAAACAAGCGCAGAGGTTTGGCTGCTTGGCGCCTGCGATCTTCTTCGTCGTCAGCTCTCGGGATCAAGGCCTGGGAAGTGGCAGGCTGAGAAGGAGTCCGAGTCGCATTACTGGCAAGGGGATGGCGGAGGGAAGGCCCGCGCGAGGTGCCGATGGTGGGCGACGGCTTCTTGAATGGGCGCTGTTGTACGCAGGAAATTAGAATATCCAAATCGGCGATGGTGGGATTAAAGAGCCTCAATACAGCAACCTACCGCGGCCCAGTCGTAATCGACTTCAGTAGGCATAGTCACAAAGAACTAGATGGCCGTGAAGAGACGGATGCCAATCAAAAAGAGATGTGGGATGCGAATGGAATGGAAGTAGCTTCAAAGCTTGTTACAATAAAAGCAAGAAAGGACAATAAAGGCTCCAAAAACCTGACGAGAGAAAAGAAAAGTGACCTGACTAAATACTCTCGACAGAACGAGACCCGCATGAGCGTAAGATCACCACATAACGCATGAGTCAACTGAACACATGTGTATTAAAGCAAACGAAGGGGGTTGAAGGTCAAGCACAAGTTCGGGACCGCATGATTGACTGTCAACGAAGGGGTTCAACGAAAGCCTCCCAAGACGAGGCCCCCATAACCCAACCAGGAATCGCAACCCCCATTTATACCAACGTCTATAAGAATACTTACTACCCTAGCCATCGCAATACAGTACTGAATTCGATGGATTAACGGATTCCATGGATCCACGCAAGGATCTTTTGCTTGATATCTCTATTGATGTCCCTCCAACATTGTCGTGACCGTGTGCCTGCAACAACACGGGAGTCGATGGGAGAGAAGGGAACACCAATAGGAAATCAAGTAAATTCAGATTCCGACTGCAGATGGACAAACAAAATTAGAGAAACAGATCTCCGTTCACGCTAAATCCCAGAAACGAGTAGGTATCACTAGGTACTTTGGGGGCCAGGAAATACATATTCTTCTTGTGCGTGTGTCCTGTGAATTTCGAGCTCGGAAAAGCAGGCCGGCAAAAATCGGCAAGCGGGAGGTAGAGCCCCAAACAAAAGGTCCGCACACAATCAGTAGCGATGAGAGAACTCCGTGAGTTAGAACCTCAGACAAACCCGACCAACGAGCGATCTCCTGGCAGGCCGTAAGATCGATTGCCAACATTGACCGTCCAAAGAACCTACAACGAACAAGCGTTCTAGTGGAACTCTTTTGGTTCCCACTTACCTCGAATTGGTATCTCATTCGGCCGAGACATCTCATCCACTGTAGAAATGAGGGCTGCGATCCATTACGCAATGCTTTGCTAATCTTCCACTAGACTTCCGCTGTCGACGATGCTTGCGGTCCCGCGCTTTCAATTCCGAGGTGGATTACCGTCTTACCCAACATTTCCAAAGATTAACATTGGGCATCCATTTGTTGTCTAAAGGGAGGATTTCAATGAAATCCCAGATATCATGTTGAACCTTCCCATAGTTGTCCTGAGCTTTAATACGGCGCTTAGCGGTGATGAATACCAAAACGCCATATGCTAATGCTGAATGCGCTGCATACCAAATGTACGGGCTTTTAACACCTACATCAACACACCTGTGGACGGCAGCAGCATCCTAGTTGTTCGTCTTTTAGTCCTGGGCGTGTAAGTGGGAAATCAGCTAGAAATCTATCCGATGCCAAACATTTCTCCAGCACCACCACTCCAAGCAATTAAAAAATGATCTTTTATGCATATGCATCCAAGGAATCTCTACTGACCAAGTTCACAGGCGTCTTTTGGAAGTTATATTTGGTATTTGGGCGGATGCCCGCTTTCAACGTCAAACTCTTGTGTTTCCCGTCCCAAGTAAACAAGCCCCGCCAACGCCGATCCATGGGTCCCGCGAACATTCCGGGACAGGATCGTAACCCCTTGGGGTCGCTGGTACCTTAGGAGAGAATCCCCGCATTCAGAACGCATCATGTTACAATAAGATTAAGGTTAAAAAATAAAGGACATTAGAGATAGATTCCTACACGAAATTCTATAGTGAAAGATGGGACTCATAAGCTAAATATTACCATTCCTATAGCTCTAGTACCAAACATTCTATTATTATGCCCAGTGTTACCGACTTTTTTTCGACCGCCCGTCGTCCTGAACAGCCTGGGGTTTCCTGCCGTCGTCGACCGTCGTATACAAATCGGCATGCTACCTGCAGTTTAACTCATATCATAGCCGGAGTTTGAATGAGCCTCCATCTCCTATTGCCGGCGATGGTACGTACTGTTGACCAGATCTGGTATCGTATCCCGTGTCGTTATGAGACTCTATTCTGCGTCACCAGTTTCGTTCCCGCTGGCGGACCCATCCTTTCGTGCTGCTTTTTGCCAAGGTGATTCGTTGTTCTGAAACACAGGCTTATAGCTCGCGTGGGTCTTTGAGTCTTTGAGATTCTGGAAGGAGCTTCATGCAAAGTCTCGCTCTGATACTTATAACAACGTGTAGACTCGGGTAGCACGCCAATCTGTATGTGCATGTTTCTGTTGTACTAACTGAATATCAGATCAATCGAATCATTCAAAATAAGGTGATGTTTTCCAACCTCCAAGGAGAGGGCAATGAATTTTGATAACATGAATTGAGTGAGGGAGAGTTATCCTTCCCTGTTGGCTTTAGATGCATTTTGTCCAAGATTTACCTCTCAATCGTTGACATGCTACCTGTAGCGTTATGAAAGAAGACATTCGTTGAGCAATACGGGCTTTGTTCGCCAAAGGGTAGTTAATCCCCAAACGGGGAGACCTTGAGTAAAGTCGGCAACTTTTTTTGATACATATTCTCAAAATTTGCGGGTATTTGCTACACCATATTGTTACGCTGTAATTGCGTCTATTCTACATAATCGATGCAAATACTCTGTTGAATCGAGCAATGCTTGGGCCGTACTCGTCGTACTGCGCCTTGCTATGGCAGTAACTGTAGAATTCCGCCTAATTTCCATAGATATTCATTTGTTAACAATGGTAAAAACTAATCTGCAACCTGAATGGTGCTTACCGTGTCCGCCAACAAACTTCCACCAAACCATACGGCATACCGCTGCCGCTTGTGCGATACAACATTCACATCAATCATCTTGGGTTGAATTTGTTGATCCTTGTTGATATTCGCCTGGGAAAGGACTTCATAGTGTTTCAGGCGGTTGTCGACAATTCTCGTGATATCGCGTTGCAGTCGTCGCCCAAAATCTTTGAACATGGTAGACCCTCCTGACAGCACAATGTTCTACCACAAAGCAATTCAGCAGGATATCAAAAGAAGCCGAGAGTCTGGGCCATCACTTACCTTGTATAAGCCTCTCCGTGTGTCAATGGGGCAACTTTGAATTGTAGTGTCAACAACTTCAGGAAGAGGAGTTAAGAAATCAGGGCTGGCAATTTCTGGGTTGAAAAAGATCTCGGGTCCTAGGAACCGTTCAAATCCTACATCTACATTGTATGGCTGCAAGCAAGGGTTAAAATAACGGAGATGACCCTAATCTCGGCGGCTCTAACGGACCTTCTTGGTAACACTGTGCAGGAACTCGTGCTTCTTGAAGCACTTGTCGGGTTCACTGTCGTACTTCTTGAATTCTTTAACAATGTCGGGACATACATAAGAGTACATCTCCTTGATGCGCTTGGCAACCTCTAGAGAATCTTCAGGTGGGATACTGTTTTCGCGTTCGCGCAGAAGCTGCTGCACGAATTGGGTAATGTCACGTCCAGCAATGGGGATATGTTTGATTGACGAACCAATGACGTAGCCTTCCGCCTGTAGCAAAAACATCTCAATAACAGCATATTGCTAATCCTTGGATGAGAAAATACCCACAACTGGAATAACGTGTGTTACACCGTCTCCACTGTCAATAACTGTTCCCGTCAACGTCTGATCAGCTTTTCCGCTAGTCCAACTAGCAGCCAAGGCCAGAACCGCTTGGACCGCAATATATATTCCCTTGGCACCAAAGGACTCGAAAAAGATTTCAGCAGTGTATTCGCGATTTTCGGGCGGGTTCAACGGCGGCTCAGTCTTACAAGGACGCACTGTTAGATGACCAGCAATTCATTTTTACCTTCCGCTCACGCTTACCAGCAGGAAGTAGTGGTCCTCTGGCTCACATCGCAAATACTGGAAAATTGAGGCTTGATGAAACTTTTCCATCAGATCCCAGTTTTCAACCTGTCCGTGGCGAATAGGGTAGTTAATTCCGTATGTTTTCGAGTTTAAGATGGCTTCGTCTCCAATGTAATAGTCCAAATCCTCGATTCCCCTTTTTGCGGCAAGGTTTCCGGACGGCGTTTCTCGTGTGGCAATGGTGGTAGGAATGATAAACTGCGGATCGTTGTTACCAGCGTACCCCATTTTCGTGTACCTATGTGGCAAAGATTAAGGAGAGCGTGATTAGCCATACCTACTCCAGAATGAACCATGAGTCTCATAGGGCTCTAATGCGTAGTTTCTTGATTGACTCAAAAAAGCATTGTCCAGCCAAAACGTCGAATAAGTTTGGCATTTTGTATCGCCAGCAGTCGCCAGTGGCTACTGCGTACAGCAGCGAAATTACCCTCAACGGTTTCTGTGAATCCCTCCTGAATAGTTGCTTACCCTGTCCCATTGTCAATCACGACTGCCGGCAAGTTTGTCATTCTCGGGATTAGAACGCGTTACGATGAGTTGGAGACTGTAAGGGCACCGCTTGCGAGTGTTTCCAGTGAATATACAGAGTAGGAATAGACAAAAAGGACCGCAGAAATATCGGGTGGTCGCCTGCGCAGTGGGATATCCAGAATTTGGTGTTGATGGAAGCAGGTTTTATGAAAACACGGTGCTCATCAACGTTGTGGGTTCGCCTCCAGAAATGCCTCGCATTGGCGGCAGCTGGGGAGCGGTCATGTGACGGCTGCACGTGAGGATTACGCAAGCATCGACCGCCCTACGTCGGGGGAAAGTGCGCGGTCGTCACTGTGACCCCCCACGGTTGGCAAAAGTTTCTGATTTGTTGGCAGATTAATTGGGCGTGCTGTGTATTCAATTTGGAATCCTTTTTGGCGAGTCCTTTACGGCGATAAAAGATGGTGTTGCTTTCATAGACGATTGTCTTGCCGTTGCTGCCATAGATAGACTCGTTTGATTCAACTCATCCATCCCATCGGATTTTATCAGTCTCTCGCTATCGCATTGCAACTAGCCTACATCTTGTATCCCAAATGAGTAACTCTGCCACCATAGCGAGCCCTTTAGTTGATTCTACTGGCAGCGCTTCACCAATGGCGTTGACGCTTCGCCCCGCCGTACGTACGGATGCTCCCGATATCATTCGAATGCGAGAGGAAGTTGGATGGGATGCTGCCCGTGTTTATGATTGGTTCGACATCTGTTCATATCAATACGGATCACCAGAGTGCCCCACATCTTTTGATTATGTTTCTTATACGGACGAGGCCATCACGATTGACCTGAGTCGTCTACAGCACCCTCCTGATGGAAGAATCTTTCGACTATGGGTAGCAGAGACTGAGAAGGAAGTGGACGGTCATGCTGAGCCGGAACGCACCAAGGTCATCGTTGCGGCTATTGGGTTATCCCACATTGATCTAGATGAAATGGATCCTGATTTGGCATGTTGGGAGCGTCGACGGGGACTAGTGAGATCACTTGCAGTATTCAACGCATTCAAAGGGCAAGGAATCGGCACATGGATGATGAGAAGAATTGAAGGTGTGCGAATCTCAAATCCTGTTTGACAGCTGATCCTTGACTCCAACTCAATCACTCCTTATCATCTTTTTCCCTCAGGTGAGGCACGACATTTAGGTCTCAAGGTCATTACATCCCTCGTGCCAATGGAAGCTACTGCATCCCTGGCTTTGCACAAAAAAATCGGCTATCGTGTATTTAAGCGTGCACCTAGAAATTGGGCTGAGGACGTACTGCATTATGAAAAAGTGCTGGACTGAAAAGTCCAAATCATTCTTGTATTTACTCTTGGCCTGCAGGTCGAACAGAGCGATACTTTACATGTCAAATGCTGCTATGGCAACAAAATCTGTAATTTAACCATTTTCGGCACCGCGATTGGCCGTCGGAGAAAGCAGGTTTTGCGCCATAGCTTTGCTTGCCCCATTTTTCGATAAACGATGGCCTCCCGTAGCAGCACCAACCGTACGGTGAGACGCCAAGCAAGCTTCGCTTCAGATGACTCGGCCGGGGCTGCTGCATCCACAGCTTCCTTTAGACGCCGTCGGGATGAAACCCTTCGAAAAAATGCGGAAAAGGAAGTCACGAAGGCCTCTCGTCCTTCGACTTCAACGTCTAAAAAGCCTCGCCCTCCAACTCGCAATCTTAGTACCACCTCAAAAAGCACCACGAGCACACGTAATCCTCCATCGTCAATCACATCTACCTCTGAGCAGAAGAAGCCGCTGCAACCTTCATCTCCAGTATCCCCACCAGCACCTACACCAGTGCGAGGTACAGTTTCCAGTATGAACCCGGAGCCAGCAGTCGCCCTCCATGCATCTGCAAAAGTCTTTGAAGCTGCCGCGTACATGGCCGCAAAACGGCAGGACGCTGTACTCATTGTGGATGGGGAAGGACACCTCGCCGGTATCTTGACCGACAAGGATCTGGCCTATCGTGTTGTGGCTGACAATTTGGATCCAAAGACAACAACCGTGTCCCAAGCCATGACTGCTAACCCTGTGAGTGTCACAACCACCAGCAATGCCACTGAAGCGCTAAATAAGATGGTCGCGGGCCAATTCCGCCATCTACCTGTGGTGGAAAGTGATGATGAACTGAGTGATGATAGCGGTGGAGACCGCCATATTTCTCCTGCAGAAGCGGTGAAAAGGACATCTACCAGCTCGGTAGAAGCCAGTACACCACGATCCCCGTCTGGTTCTGGCGTGGGTTCCGGTGGGGTAGTTGGAGTGTTGGACATTACCAAATGTCTTTATGAAGCATTGGAGAAGCTAGACCGTGCATATGAATCGTCGCGAAGGCTGAATGAAGCATTAGAGGGAGTAGAGAGGGAGTGGTCTATCCGGAGTGGTTCCATCGGTCGTTATGCTGAAGCTCTTCGTGACCAACTTGCTTGCCCTGATCTGGCAGGGCTGCTTGCCAGTCAAAGTGCGAGCCCCCCGGTCGTCGGTTTGCGTGCTACTGTTCTCGATGCTGCAAGGATGATGCGGGAAAGCCGGGAAACCGCGGTTCTTGTGTTCGATTCAGATCGTCAAGGCCACGCCGGTGATCTGGGCAGCTTGGCGGGAATCTTCACCAGCAAGGATCTCGTCCTCCGTGTTCTGGCTGCTGGATTAGACCCAGCAGCTACAATGGTCGTCCGAGTAATGACACCGCACCCAGATTGCGTAACCCCCGATACCCCTGTTGTGGACGCACTCCGAAAGATGCATGCGGGCCGTTATCTTCACCTGCCGGTTGTCGACAACGTTGGAGTGGTAGAAGGGATGGTGGATGTTCTCAAGCTCACCTACACAACGCTGACGCAAATGACTAACATACAAGGAGAGCCCGGTGAAGGGCCCGTTTGGAACAGATTCTGGGATTCCACGTTAAGTCCACCAGAGATTTATGACATCAATGAAAGCGGGAGTGCCAGTGCTTCTCATAGCGACCATCTATCCAATTTCTCACGGAAGCATGACGAGCCCTTCCCGGACGATAGTACTGTTGCGCCAGACGATTCTGCAAGCATGTTTCCTGCCCGTACCAACGGTCTCCTCTCCCAGAGAGGTATAGAGGGAAATGGATCAAATAATTCTGGGTCTGGGATAGGAACTGGATTCGGGACAGCTCTGAGCGAGGGATTGTACGTCTTCAAGCTCCGGGACTCCCGAACTGGTCATATGCACCGCTTCACATCCCCATTCCACAGCATAGAGGTTCTTCAGGCTTCCGTGGCTGCGAAGCTGTCGCTCCCACCAGCTGCAGCCGAGTCACTGCAGTTGTCTTTCATAGACGATGAGGGGGATTGCGTGCATTTAGGTACCGATAAAGATATCTTGGATGCTGTGCTGATGGCACGAGCGGGCGGTTGGGGACGGTTAGTGCTGTGCATTACCGGAGAACGTCATCGCAGAGAGGTTGAAGCATTAAATAGAGTAGCAAACAAGGTATTTGGACAGGAAGGGAGCGGACGGCAACAACCGCGTGGAGGGGATGTGGGGTACCTGACCCCAATGTTGATGGGAGGCGGCGTAGCATTGGCGTGCGCCTTCTTACTGGGTAAAGCATTTAAATAGCATGATTTTTTGTAGATTGTATGTAGACCTTGATATACAGACAGATATATATATAGAGAGCCGAAGTCAGAGAGAAATATTCACAGCAAAATCCAATATACACATGAGAGACCCGGCTTCTATCTTTGTCGGGCACGTTTTGAAAGAGTAAAGAGACGTGTTCCCGCACTGAACGTAGTTTGCCCACTGCACGGAACCTCTACAGATCTGGTAACAGATGCGGGCACAGGTTCAACCAATTGCTGGACCTGTGTAACCGATTCCAAGTCGTCACTATCTGCAAAATCGTCGTCATCTTCCTCATTTTCGTCCACGAAGGCAGACCAAGCTGATTTGATTGGAGGAGTATAGGGTTTTGATGGTTTAGCGGCAGAGGACTGAGAGAATCGGTTTGGCTGAAGTGGTATGTGTGTGATGGGTTGGCGTAATGTGGAGGTAGAGATTGGGGGCGTATTAGTAGATGGCTGGCTTTCAGGACGGAGGGATCTGTCGGCTTGAAGAACAGGTATTGACGTCCTTGGAGCTGCATTGCATTCTTTCATGCCATCAATAGGATTTCTATGCAACTGCTCTGACGATCTTCCCAGTTTTGAAAATGCTCGACTCTTCCAGGGAGCAATAGAAAAGGTAGATTTTGGCGTGAGATCTTCCGAAGTGGCATCGCTCTTGGCATGGTGCATCCGAGGGACAGATTCCATAGCAAGAGTATCATAAGCATCATTCACAGACTTTCTCTTTCGGCCGTGCGAAGTTTTCTCTTTCACCTTCCTGTCGACAAAATCTTCTGCGTCGTTGGCTACCTCATCTGAATCCAAGTACAGACTCCACTTCTTTTGAGGGCTCTGAGGTTTTTGTTTCAGACAACCTCGGCGCTCGTATGTACCACATCCATATCCCTCCTGCTGATCGGAATGTCGTTCCCATGCACCCTCCACCTCTTGTTGTTGGATCTTCTGTTCGCGCGCTACTCTGCGCATGTTGAGCTCTTGTACCGCTTTGCGACAATCAGAACCTGCCGTTGACTCAAAAAATACATGCTTGAGGCCTTGTTTGGCGCCGCAGACCGCGCAGGTCCATTTTTGGACCTTTTTGGCCTGAGGTTCGCGTTATGAGGACGTGAGGATGACTCGATAGGTAGAGAATGCTCAAGAAGCCATACCTGTTGCACTTGAAACATCTTACATGCGTCTGCATAGCATTGGATGACCTGATAGAGTGGCATTCGGAAATTGATCTCATCGATTATTCCATGTGGGAAGAGATGCTGTGGGTCATTCGTATCTGTGGCTTAGCGGATGAGATAATCCAATTCCCCGCCAGGCCGCAACAGGATCCTATAAAAAGCCCGAAAACGTAGGATTCAAAGCTAAAAATAGCCCGCTTTGAGTTTGGATCTAAATGCACGGGAAGCAGTAAAGCTTTGCCTTGAAGGGAAAAGGCCGCTCTGCGTAGATCAGTATTTGATGACGACAAGCATGACTTGTACCGTCACAATGTTATTTCCCCATCATGGCCGCCATCGGCAGAGAATTAGACAGGCACTGGTTTGACATTATCGGAAGAGCATTAGAACGAAGACCACAGAAACCCGGACTCGATGTGCGGGAATCTCTGTTGCCTGCTGCACCTGAGATCAACGGGGTAGGTTACTCAGGAATACCGTCACATCCAGGAGCGGCGCAGATCGCCTTGTTCATTGTTTTTGCTGTTGTGATCGTCTTGTCGATCAGTCTGATCTGGTTCGTGCGAGTGGTGGACAAGTATGCGATACACCACCCTAATCAACGTCCTGGTCTCGTTTACGAACAAGTGGAAGCCACTGTACCTGCTCAACATACCAGAGTCATGCCCATCCCAGTACCACGCTTAACATCACCCGGTTCTATCGGTCCGTCCGCATCCGATACACGATTAAGTGACTACCTGCCTCCATACACGAAGGGATGGCATAGCGGAGAAGTCACAGTTGGTGATGTAGTTGCAAGTGGGCATTATTGCCAAGGTTCTCTCGCCACTGCTAATACTACGGTTGCTGCTATGGACGCCGATGAAGTCAATATTCTACCGCAGGGGCTTCCTAGCTACCAAGATTCTGTACTGGCGAGTATGGAGGAAGAGAGGGTCAGAGAACCGTGCAACTGTAGATAACCAGTAGTAGTATCCATCCTAGCCCAGATATTCCTTCATCAAATATAAATTTATTTCAATAGAGATAGTATGACTCGCACGCCAGATCTATGAGTCCATGGGGAAAGTTTCAACAGGCACACTCTAAAGCACCCCGGATGCGAAGGGGACTACCGAAACCGCGTAAGGATTGAGGAGCAGAAAAGAACGCTGGGGAATGAAGAAGCCGAGAGTGAACTCGGATCCATATTCCGAACCTGAACTTACCCATAACTGACCGCCATCGGAACGTACAGAGAGCTTCTCAAGCTCTCCCTTGCTCGGCAAACTATTAGTGCGTGCTCATCACAACCGGATTAAAGTGGGCGTCATCTAGGGTTGGCATGCCGTGTAATCGTGACTTGTATTAACGATTCCATTAAACGATAAACAATACACTCTCTATGGTGATGGTTCACGACAGCTTAAAGATTGCTAGGAACGCAGAGGAAAGTTTCGCTTTTATTGCACAGCCAGAGGTGAAGTTGGAGTCGGTCAGGAGGGAAAGCCGCCAGGAATATCCTAATGGGAAAGGCATGAGATGCAAGGACAGTATGATAAGTTTACGCACGCAGCGGAATTCACTGCAGCAAGGTGCTGCTCATCAGCAACAAAAGACGGGAACTCGTGTCGATGTCAGCCAGCTGCTAACGTCACGTGATCTTTAATCGACAGCTGCAAACAGAAACTGCAAACTGTAACGCTCACGTACCAGAGGCATTTTGCACCTCCATCCATCCATCATGGATATCATAAAGCACCCAAAGCCCCTCAAAACATACCCACAGTACGCTCATGGAAAATATAATGTAGCATGCTATGTCGTTTAAAATGCTGATGGTATGCCCTACTGCTTAGATCCCTTGTAGCATCCAAAACGGTTGCGGAGGCCTCCCTCCACGTCCGCACTCCCGCAGAATGGCATCTTTACGGATATCCCTTTGCGGTAATCTACGGGATATGGGTCTACCTTAACTTTTTCCAACAAGAGGCTATATTTGGTGGACCTGAGGTTGGAAGGTTGGCCTTCATTCTGGTGGCCGCAGTACATGCATTGGCGTTTCTCGTTTGTCAATGGAGCGTGAAAGCGAATGCAAAGCTGACGTGTCGACAGGTGTGTAATTGCGGAGACATAATAACCATGGTGGTCGTTTTTTCTACGGTTTTCTTACAAACGCACACAAATGTTGTAGGAGACCGATGCTTACAAGGCGGGCGTTATCATGGTGATTCCCACCACGCATAATGGATCCGGCGCCATGTGCAACATCCAAAGAACTGTTGATCCAAAGACCAAGAAGCAGCACTTGTACTTTTTCTTCCAGCAGAAGAAATACGTCTACAATGACGAGACTAAGATGTTCGAAAAGCTGGATTATCCCACTCGTCATGGCTATAGCATTGAGGAGTATAGCCGATGGCCGGGTCTGTCCACCGAGGAGGATGTAAAGGCAGCCAAAGATAAATATGGGCCTAACAAGTAGGTTTGCGATGGTGTGGTCATCACGGTTCTGCTGATTGACACAGTCGTTCCCACTTAGATTTGATATACCGATTCCCAAGTTTGGCGAGCTCTTTAAGGAGCACATGATGGCACCCTTTTTTGTCTTCCAACTGTTTTGCGTGGCTTTGTGGTTTTTGGATGACATGTGGTATTATTCTCTATTCACCTTGGTCATGCTGTTCGTGTTCGAGTCAACTGTGGTATTCCAGGTGAGTCGGTTTATGAAAGAAGGCGACATCAAAGCATTCATTAACGCGCATGATACGTAGCGCCTGCGGAACTTGCAAGAGTTCCGTTCCATGTCCATCAAACCGTACGCGATCAATGTATATCGGAGCAAGCGATGGTCCACAGTTCAAACTGATGAACTCCTCCCTGGAGACATTGTATCCATTGTACGACAAAAGGACGATTCACCAGTGCCTGGCGATATGGTTATAATAGATGGTTCTTGCATTGCCAATGAAGCCATGCTATCAGGGGAGTCGACACCACAGCTGAAGGAGCCGATCAGCGGGCGGGAGCCTGAAGATGTATTCGATTATAAAGCGGATAAGAACAACATACTGTATGGTGGAACAAAAGTCCTTCAGGTGTCGCCTCCTAAGGATGATCAGCCTCTCCTCCCGCCGGACAATGGTGCCGTCGCCTACGTTGTCCGCACGGGCTTTGCTACCCAGCAAGGAAAGCTCGTAAGAACTATCGTTTACAGTACGGAACGCATCACGGCGAACAATTTGGAATCATTGCTCTTTATTCTCTTCCTGCTGATTTTTGCCCTGATTGCCGCCTGGTACGTTTGGACGGAAGGCACGAAGAACGAAGAGCGAAATCGGTCAAAGGTGTTGTTAGACTGTATCTTGATTATCACGGCAGTAGTACCTCCAGAACTTCCCATGGAGCTCTCTTTGGCAGTCAATAACTCATTGATTGGCCTTGCACGTGCCTACATTTACTGCACCGAGCCCTTCCGGATTCCATTCGCGGGTCGCGTTGATGTGGCCTGCTTCGATAAGACAGGTACCCTGACTGCCGAGAACTTGATCGTGGAGGGAATAACGGGCCTCAATAGCGACGTAGATCACTTAGCGAAACCCACAAACGTGCCACTTGAAACAACGCGTGTTCTGGCTGGGGCACATGCGTTGGTGATGTTGGAGGATGGCATCATTGGTGATCCCATGGAAAAGAATACTCTCGAGTCAATTGAGTGGACTTTAACAAAGGGCGAGGTAGTACATCCGAAAAAGGATGTGAAACCGACTGGCAAGAGCTCCATGCGAATTCTCAGAAGATATCAGTTTTCCTCGGCTCTTAAACGCATGTCTACGGTGTCAGTGCAGCAGGATGGCGGAAAGGAGAAATTGTTCGTCGCGGTGAAGGGCGCTCCAGAAACGATTAAGACGATGCTAACAACGGTGCCAAACGGTTATGATGAACATTACAAAATTTGGGCTAGGAGGGGCAAGCGCGTCTTGGCATTGGGGTACAAATATTTGGACGAGCATATCAAGACTTCGGAAGTTCGCGATCTGCATCGCGATGAGGTGGAAAGCAAGCTCATTTTTGCTGGCTTCCTAGTATTTGGCTGTCCATTGAAGAATGATGCCGTGAAGGCCGTGGGAATGCTGAACAGATCATCTCACCGGGTGGTGATGATTACAGGAGACAATGCCTTGACTGCTTGTCACGTTGCCAAGGAAGTGGAAATTGTGACGCGACCGGTCCTAATTGCAGACACTTGGGACGATGGAAAGCTTGCATGGCGTTCCATTGACGAGACGGTGTCCATTGAGCCCCGGTTGGACAAAGCCGAATTTGACAACCGTCTGGAAGAATACGACCTCTGCTGCACGGGGCAAGGTTTGGTGCAGATAGCGGGAACGCCGGCGTTTGCGGCACTTTTACCAAGAATTTGGGTTTACGCTCGAGTATCACCAGGACAGAAGGAACTTATACTGACGGAATTGAAGCTTGCCGGTTACACAACGCTCATGTGCGGCGACGGCACAAATGACGTAGGGGCGCTGAAGCAGGCACACGTTGGTATCGCGTTATTGGATGGAAACGTGGAGGACATTGAAAAACTAAATGCTCGCTTGCGAGCTCGGAGACAGAAGCAAATGCTGGAGCAACAGGCAAAGTTGAGGGAAAAATGGGGTCTGCCGCCGTTGCCAGAAGAGCAGCAAAAATTGTTGCAGGGACAGAATGGACAGAAAAATGAGGCAGCTGTGGCCACAAAAAAAGAGGAAAAGCCGCAGCCTAAAGATGGCAAGAAGCCGAACGTCACAGAGCAATTGGCGGTATGTAATATTTGATATGGCTCTTCCCAATGGATGCTAACAACAACCTTTTGCAGGCTGCTATGGAGATGATGGACGACATGGAGGGCGATGTTCCCAAGATTAAGTTTGGTGACGCCTCTGTCGCCGCTCCATTCACTTCAAAAATCTCCAGCGTCATGAGTGTTTGCAACATTGTACGACAAGGCCGAGCCACACTTGTCGCCATGGTCCAGATGTACAAAATCCTTGCTCTCAACTGTCTCATTTCAGCGTTTTCCATGAGTGTCTTATATCTTGCTGGAATCAAACAAGGGGACTGGCAAGCTACCATCGCTGGTATGATGATCACGGTGTGCTTTTTTGGAATTGCCAAATCGACAGCCTTGGAAGAGCTTTCGAAGAAGCGACCACAATCGAATGTGTTCAATCACTATGTAATCATCTCCGTCCTGGGGCAAGCCGCTGTCCACGTTGGGTCGCTCCTGTACATTCAACGGGAAGCCAACTTTTACGCTGAAGATTTAGACGAAGAGATCAAGCTCGATGCCGAGTTTTCACCCAATCTCCTCAACAGCGGTGTATACCTCGTTTCATTGATCATGCAAATTTCAACTTTCGCAATCAACTACCAAGGATTGCCCTTCCGGGAAAGCATTATCCAGAACAAGGCGTTGTACAATAGTTTGATGGCTGTGGGTGCGATTGCCGTAGCGGCCGCAAGCGAGTTATCAGAGGGATTGAACGAGTGGATGCAGTTGGTGCCGTTTCCAGATGAGGTTCGAGTTTTCTTAACATTTGGTCGTGCTCTTTGCTGTACCAAGGTTCTGACTATGCAATTTTTTTCTAGTTCCGCTACAAGCTACTGATAACTATGGCGTTGGACTTTGGTGGAGCGTGGGTAATTGAACAGATTTGCACAAAGTTGTTCTCTGATAACCGGCCCAAAGCGAGCCTCTTCCCTCGAGGACACTGAACTTTAGACCTGCGGATGGTGATGGATGTGGCATGAGGCTGGGATTAGATTCAACAAGTGTACACATTGTCGGATAATAGAGGAGGCATTGCACGTAATTTTTGGACCCTTCACCGGACAAATTCAGAATTCAACGCCCTAGAATGTAGGGTTTCCCTTAACAATAAATGAGCTTTGATGATTGAATAATCTATAGAACAGAATGAAGACTACTATTTACAGATGCCCACAGACTCTGATGAGAGATTCCAAAGAATCTTGGAAACAACAAAAATTCCAAGGTTGGGAATTACATTGTTGGGGTATTGGTTGAGTGTGGGCGATGCTCGCGCGGTGGTGAGTGTGCAGTTGATGAAGATACAGGTTGCAAGGGTTGGGGGAAAGGATGTTGAGGGGAGCAAAGTAGAGTGTCAACAGCTGTTCCGCTTCCCCGTCAGTCACATAGTCCAAAGGTATTGGGTCATATCACTGATCAACCGATGCAGAAGGTCCTGCTTGCTGATACGCTCTGATGATGTCAAGATCCATGTCTATTTCCGACTTTTGCAAGCCCTCGCAGAGTCGTGGAGGAACGATCTGTGGAAAGTATGCAAAAGGCCCATTGTAAGGAACCGCAATCGCTGCGTTGGACGAAAATGCAAGCTCACCACTCGTCCGCCTCGTCGTTTGTTCTCTTGCAGCTTGCGTTTGATGGGGGAAGGATATTTGGCGGCGTAGGGTGGAATGCCTGTGGTTGAGCGCTTGAGTTGATCTATTTCTATTTGCCGTTTGCGCACGAATGTTTCTGCGGGTGTTGGTTCTACAAGAGGATATCTATCAATCGACGATCCACGACCTGGTTATACTGTCAGGTGAGAAAACATACCAAAAGCCCAGAGCTCTTGCTCGTCATTTCTAAGCTTCTCTGCGACCATTTTCCATTTTTTTGCATTTATTGAGTCGATCATCTTTCGTCGCGTATCACCACGTCGATCCTATCAGCTCCAAGGTAAGAAAAGGCTTTGAAAGTACTAGATGTAAAATAGATGTACGCACGATAAATGTATCATTCGCTTGCTTGACGGCCGCCTCGTATTGTACATGGGCGTATTCCCTCTGCATGCGTTGCCGGTTCATGTTGACTTTCTCTATGCCTTTATATTTGGCGTCCAACTCCGCATAGCATAGATGTGTACCTAAGGAAAAGGAACGTTAGCTCACATAAAGGCATCTGATTGGTGTAAATGTGCCATAATAGCGTTAACCATACCTTTTCTAATTTGCTCTTGTTCGAGTTCAATGGCGTCAAGCTCAAGCTGTATGCGACTACGCGTCCGGTTAAATGAGATCGGGTGCAATGAAACCATGTAAGCAGCAGTCTTTTCCTACCGATCTCTGAGCTTGGCATAGTCCTGACCAATTCTAACCATTTCTTCCTTTGCGGCTTTTACGAGCAGCTTCTTTTTAACGGTGTCCTCGTCATCGTCTGCCCTGATTTCATCATCAAACAGCATCACTATGAACGCTGTATATAAGCATCAGGAACACTAGAGGAGCAACTTTCGCATTCCCAGACGCTACCATCGTTTATAGCGTCATCTTCTGCGCCGGCAGCACGTGGCTGCGGACCGTTAGTCAATGGGGCTTTCGTCTTCAGATTTATCACCGATCCACCATTGGCAAATGGCAATTGCCGGGAAACCGGTGCGGCTATGCGCTCGGATGACGTGGGAGCTGTTGTGACCTTTGCTCTTCTTCGCGTATTATGCTCGTGAGAAGGTGGTATCTGTGTCTTTCGGGCGGTACGACCTTCGCAAGGAGCAAGCAAGCAAATTGGAAAGAGTCCGACAGTGAATGTCAACCCAGTGGTTTACATACCGGCGGTCGCTCTGGTAGAAGCTCTATACGGTGTTGGAAGGGTGGGGGAGCTTGGTAGGAAAGAGTCATCATTAGAAGGCTCCATATCGCTGGTCTGGGCTGCACTTCGTCCGTGATCTACCCAGTGAAGCAGCAAATGGTTAGTGGTTTCACTCCTTATGCAGCGTCTGTATCCTAAGAGACCTTTCGAACGTTCCACGTCTGGTGGACTCGGATGGCTATTGTTGATTTGAGGGATGGTGGTAGTGAGAATCGGCTCGGGCGATGTAGGAACAGAAAATTTCCCGTTAATTGGTTCAATATCTGCCGGTTCGTGCTCTGCGGGCAGACCAGATTTAGGAGATATGTGAGACTTTGGAGTTTGGGGAGTTGGACTCTCAGACAGGTTGTCTACAGGCTCAGAGACACGTTGGCGTTTGGTTTTTCGCCTAGTTGTTTTTGATGTGACTCCAATGTTCAGGTTGTCAGACGGAATGGTGCCATTTTGACCATTGGGTAGACCCGCTTCCATTAGCTCTGTTGTGGGTGGTTGTACATAGTGCAGCTGTGCAGCGTTTGCAACTCGGTGAGCCAAAGCGGTGTCACTAGTATCCTCCACAGGGGCTTTCCGTTTTGTGCCAGCGGTCGAGTCAGATTGCCCCATACTACGACGGGTTGCTCGAGGAGCGGGATGGAGAGATAAGGTGGCATCTGACGACATTGCGCTTCAAAAAGTGTCCTAAAGTGTTTGCAACAAGTATGCACTAGCAAAGTTGAGCCTTGGAGAGAGGGAAGGAAACCATGACAAGGCCTACACTCGGCGTAACCACACGTCTTTTACCTACAGCGTATACTAAAGTCCTCAGTTACTTTTCTATCGTTCGCGATGGCCTTGTTGGTTATGGAGAATAAGTCTTGTTACTAGTCATGAACAGCAGATGGACGACAAGCAGAATTCGTTGAGCTGCTATTGTTCAGGTCGTGTGGCTTGGACAGTCGCGATCCTAAGGACCCCCCCAAATGTCGAAAAAAGTAACAATTCCAAAGTAAAAACTCACAAGGCAAAAGCACGGATTTCTTTTTTTTTTTCTTGGGTTGCATCTCCAAAAAATAAACAGCAAAGATATACGTAACTGATGTTTTCCTTGTAGGATTGGCGTCATGAACGAGAAAACCATGTCATTACAGGTATTTAACTGTCTTGCACTGTAAGACGCGCTTTAGCAAACTCAATGGCCTGGATGGACATTGTATAGCCATGCCATAGATTAGAAGAGTTTTCCTTCTCGACGTCTGCTTCTTGCTATAGTTGGAAAGCTCTTGCTCCAACGGTTGCCAGAGTGTGTTTATTGAATATCATCTATAGATTTGACACTTTTATTAAAGCAAGACTTGCTGTAACAGAAAGCAAGCACCCAGTTGGCCAGGGTTACGGTGATCTAGCAGACTGCTTCTTGGATCTCAACGTTGTTCCTAACCCCAGAGTCAGAAAAGGTTCAGTCAGAGCGTCACACGCCCGCAAAGGAGACAAACAGCGATGCTTACCTTTTTCTGTCGTGCCAGACTTTATAAAAGATCCCTCTATATTTCACTAGTCATTAGAGTCTTTTGGTAAAAGCTGAACAGAAAGCTCAACAAACCTGAGTTCTTGATAATTCTTTCAGCTGTAACTTGTTTCACTAATTGGTACTCTGATTCTTGACGGAATTTGATGGTGGTCGAAAACGAGTTTGATACCAGCGATATGACTGACCACTGGTCCTCTACTGCATAGTGGTCTACATACTGGAGCTTGATCGCAATGTTTGGAATGGACTGCCCAAAGATTCCCTAATTGCAGCGGCTAATGTTACAATCGGCTGGCAATCATTCCATGAGCATCCAGCCAAATACCTTTGCTCGTTTTGACACCTTGATGAAAAAGGTGGTGCCTGAAGAATTCACGGAAAATCTAGCGGGTACCCACGTATCGCTGAAGAGCCCTCGGGTGAGGACATGACATAGATAACCAGCATCAGCCTTCTTTTCCTTCTTATTATCATCAACTTCAGGAACTTTCTCCTTCAGTACTTTGCTCTTCCAGCTCTTTGACCGCTCGTCTGATCCATTGCTCCACGCCGAAGAGCCCGGCGGCTTGGATTCTGCGACAGCCGTCGATAATCTCGTGTGGAACAAGAAGAACGTACTTATCCAACCTGACAAGTATATTCCCGCGGACTTGAGATAGAAAGCCAAAACCTCCCCGGTATTTGTCAGAAGAACAACCGGCAGTACAACGGCGGCGCACACCACTAGGGCATAGCACGCGATAGTAATCGCTTTGCTCTCTGAGTATAGGTTGGCATTTCGCGTCTTGTAAGCAAGTCCGCACGCAAAAATAAGCAAGCACAGCTTGTATGTTGTTGCTATGATGGTCATCGGGACATTCGCCGCAGATGTAGAGTCGCAGGTCCATTCTCGCACAGTACCATGATCGGCAAGACTAGGCTGGAGCGGTGCGACCGCCGTCCAGATAGCATCAATTATCTGGAGATTGGTAAACTGCTTAATCCAGAGGCCAAGTAAGCTGAGCGTATGTAACTGACCAGTTCCATGAAGAGGATAGCAAAAGAGATCCTTAGAATCTTATGATCAGGCAATGCCGCTCCTCTTGTGTTGCCATGGTTTGAAGAATTAAATATCTATCTCAGTCAAGGTTAAGTAAGTCAAGACCAGCTAGAAGAGAAATGGGAAGGTGCGAGAAACTCACCCGGAATATACGGTAGTTTTTACTGATCAAATTGCTAAAATCATCGCAGGAGATGTAAGCGCGTGAATGCGTGGACTGCATATACTTCACGACGATCCTTACCCAATTGCTATAGAAAAAGATAATCCACCAATCCATATCTGAGCCACGCAAGAACTATGGCTGGGACGCCCGACATAGAGGAAGGGAAGAAGATACCCGAGGAGACAGCCACACAGGATCAATATGCCAAACGATGGTGCGGAAGCTTTAACGACCTGTTGGGTTTTGTAGACGAGTAACGCAGCTATCGTGACAATGGTCATGAGGATGGAGATCGCCGCTAACACCAATATCAAAATCACCGGCCCTTCACGAATATCGATATAAACCTTCGCAGAATCCGTCCTATCGATTGCAGATATTGGCAGGGCCAGATTCGAAAGTGTTAGAGTATATGGCTCCAATGCCACTCCCTCAACAAACGTCCCGGATTTATCGATCACGGAGAATTGGAAGGTCACGATATCGCCGTGGTTTACCATCGACCTGAAGTAGATTTGTTTATTCGGGAGGAGAAGGGCATCCGCAACTTTTTGGAGGATCATATCTCGTGTTGTTCCATCAATTATCGACGCTGAGACGTCCCTACGGAAAAGAGAATTCGTTCCCAGCTCAGCAGCTCTCAGATCGACGGAAATTGAGTCCCGCATGCCCGTAAAGCTGCTACAATCCACTCCGTCTCTGCCAGGATGGCAATGGCAATAGTCCTGCTGGCAGAATCCGTTCGCTTTTGGACAGCCCAAGGTACACGTAATAGGGACACATGATGGAAACTTAATCCCGGTCCCTATCATCTTATTCTCCATTCCAGCGTCGGTGCAATTTTCAACAAGTACTGGGATACTTGACCGGAAAACATTTGGATCATAATATGCGGTCATCGAGCGCACAGTAATGTTGTACTTTGCGGGCTGTGCATATAACTTGATGGACCCAAGCTTGGCTCTGCCTCCAAGAGAAGGTTTGGAGAGTGTGCCTACGATTTGCCCCATAGAAGGATCGGATAGCTGAAGTCCAATATAAAGCGGCTCATTCGGGCGGGCGATGAACAACTGACCAAATGCTAAAAAATGCGAATGGAACCCAGAAGTTAAGGTCCAAAGTCCATTTGTGACAAACTTGTACATGATAGTGCGTACCATCGCGGCTTGTAATGTCTATATCGGGGAGCATGGCACCCGAAAGCTGGGAAATATTCATTATTCCGCTGATATCAATCCTTGCAAGTCCAGTGGCAATGTCGTCCCCTGCTAGACATGTTGGTCAAATACAATCTCCCCTTATCAATTCGAAAATGCTGTTTACCCTGCCAAATTGCCGAGTTATTGAGGAACGCCGCAGCAGTCAACATGCTTTTGTCAAGCCCAACTAGACCATTCATTTGATATATAGCACCTCCCCGATACGCGCGGTTGCTTCTAAAGGTCAGATCCTCCATCGAGAACTGGGAGGTTGATGGCAGGTTAACTGCAATTGCCCCGCCATCTAGCCCCGCCTCATTCAATTCAAAAGTCGATTTGCGAATGGATAGCATCGTGATAGAGTCCTTCGGGGAAAATCTGATTGCACCACCGCTGTCGGATTGGTAGTTGTTCTGGAACGTGCAATTGTTCACATCAACGTTCCCGTTGGCGTTGATGGCACCGACTGGCCTATTATCTCCGAAGACAGTGGATTCCACTATGAGGGAAGCGCCTGCCTCCGCGTACAGGGAGCCCTTATTCCTATAAAAAGTGGAACCATCTTGGACATGAAGTGTTTGATCCAATGCTATATATACCATCTGACCCGAGCCCGCCGTCACGTCTAAAAGCATAGAGGGACATGAGCTACTTAAATTTACTAGAGTCATTGGAGGAAAGTGAACTGACCAGAGATATGCACATCGGACAACGTTGATATCTTTGGCGTACCGAAAGGGTCTTCAAAACGAAAGAGTGACCCCGACATGATTGTGGTAGTGTGAATCTGACAATGGCTCATGGATAGCTCCCCATAAATAGAGAACATTCCGACATATGCCCAGGAATCTGCAGCAGCACACGGCGGTCAACCAATGGCACATCCACGAAATAAAAAAAAACTCTACCTTGGAATATGCAATTGTCCATGGTCACGCTCGCTTCAAAGTCGACAGTAAGGAAATTGTCTCTATGTTCTGTGTGATCTATAACAAGCGTGCAAGTCAATGCCTCTTCCGCAATAACAGATAGCAAAGCAGAAAAATGAACTAACTTTTCACGGTAAAGGTATTGAATGACGCAGTCGTTTCTCCGTAAATCGACCAGAACGGATATCCGAGGACGTTTATATTCCCTTAAGACAATGTGCACAATGGTCATCTTAGCCTCCGTAGTTATGGCAAATACCCTGAGATCTGAAATGGTACCTTCAAACATTCCCTCTTCAACATTTATATGGGCGCCGTTTTCCACCCAATTCCCGCAATGGTTTTCAGCTGGCGAGGGAAACAAGCCATGAGACTGAGCCGAATAATGCAAAAGTGCCTAGGACACCTACATAGTGTGAACTGCTTCATATCAACAGTGAGCGCAACACCTTGAGCTCTAAAACACGAGAATGCCGTATTATCTGTGAAGATAAGCTACCATTGAGCTTTTCCGAGGGAAGGTGCGAATTACAGGACGCGGAGCTTCACCTTCAAAGACGACATTGCTCAACGTATGGACGCTAGGCAGCTGAGTTTCTTCCCGGAACCAAATGACATAGTCCAAAAGACCGGTTTGAGCACCATTTCCTGTCAAAGCCCGCATCGTCGGTGACTACAGAATAGTCTTCCGTTGAAGTATGAAATAGAGGGAATACCTTTCAGATACAAATTATTCCACGAGCTATTTGTCGGCCCTCCGGCTTCCTTCATAAATTCTGTTAATCCGCGCCTACACTTCAACGATTTGAGAGCCAACTTACCATGTACAGTCGAATCACAGCAACGTCCCCTGGGTTTTCGACTTGGTTTCCTACGTACGCCAAATGGGCACTGTTACATCAGAACGCTGCAGGCAAAGGGACCTGTCTGTCTTGTGCAAGCGCACCTATCACATCAATTTCCGTCCCTGTCACTGTACCCCCCCTTACGATGATCAGCGCGCATGGATAAGTTGAATCTATTCCAGGTTAACGATTCAGCGAGGGACGTCATATTTACTCTGTTCCGAATGCAAGCCTGCGTACCAGCGACGGTCAGATTGGTCAACGAAGCCTCCCCAAAATCCAAGGCGTATAAAAAGGTGCCGTGATTGTTGGTGTACGAAATGTTGTTCATCACCAACGTCGAGGTCCTTAAAGCAAAGAAGATTGGTGCAAAACATTCCTCATTATACGGGAGATCAGGTATATATGTGCAATTGGACAGCGAAATGCTGCTGAAGCTCAGCGAGCTCAAGCTGGTTCCTCCGATTGCGAGATACAGATCTTATCCACAGATTAATAGATATAGTGATCATAGTTGATGACCTGCCTGTGCCAATAGCCTACCAGTAAATGTAGAATCGGATATTACAATCGTCGAGTTATCGCCCGTAACTGTAACTTGACTATTGGAAGTTCCTTCATACGACCCGAGTCAGCTATCTTTACAGGGGCATCACATTACATGAGTGCCTACCAGAAACGGACGAACCGGTGAAAGTGATGGAACCACCAGCGGATGCAGAGACCGAAAATGCAGCATCCGATTGCACGTCCATGCTAATGCCGTTGAATTCCCACCATGCCGAATTGACCGTAATCTCTGCTCCCCCGACCACTATGGTGACGGTTTCGGAGAGGTTGGCAGCATTGATGATGCTCCCGGTTGTCAGATGAAAGACACTTGCGGGCGGCAGCTCGTAGATGCCGGTTGCGATATCGATATGAAATTGATCAGTACTATTGAGAGCAGTCAAAGTACTCCAAGCAATAGCAAGGTCGGAAAACGTCGTAACATCGTCGCCCACTAGGCGTTGATCGACACTTATGACTGTATAAGCATTTGAAACTGCGGAGGGGCCAAGCATTGGTTAGTGTTGACAGACTGTGGTCATGCCTCGCCGCACGACATACCTATTGCAAGATACAGAAGCGCCCAAACGCATTTCCATACCGCGGTCATCGTTTGCACAAGGAGCGATCCTGCAATAGAAGGGATCCAACTGCCATTCCTTTTATGTAAGGTTTTGATTAAGGATATATTCCACCGATACCTTGGAAAATCCCAGAATTGGATAATCACATCCTGATTATGAATAGGAAAACCGATGTCAATTACTAAAAAAAGGTGCAGGGATACACAATTTTCCCGGATATAAAGCTCATCTACGTCTAGTTTGGACCCGTTAGACTGCTGAACACTATCTTTAATATCTTTTACGATATAGGCTTTTGTGATCTTCAAAAGCGTCGGGCCTAAAATTCTGGCCCTATCGCAATCCGGGCATATCCTGTATGCAAAAGGGATCAGTTTGTGCTCATCCACCTTGGGATCGCTTGTAAACAAACGCTACCGATAGCAATGTCCGGATATACCCTGCTCCTGGTTCTCATCCATATGCTGACAGCAGTCGCATCAGCATCTTCCTTCACACTTCACGTCAATAATTCCGCCGAGCTGGTATCTGGGGATGGATCAGATTCCTCTCCTTTTCAAAATCTGGACGATGCGTTTGCCTTTGTTACTGGCCACCTTTCCAATTACACCAAATTTGAAATTATTTTAGAACAACCCGGCGATTATCCTCTCAATGGTGATCCTTTCGCGGACGACGGAGGTTACACGTTTGCCTCTATATCGGTTGATCAACCACTGTGGTTGGAAATTGTCGGGGTGTCCTCTGCGGTTATTACAGCGACGCCAACGCTGGCGAGCAGTGACGCCGCGGGCCCTATGTTCAGCATTAGCAACGGTGCAACCTTGGCCTTCAAGAATATGATGCTTGGAGTTCCCGGGGATGCTCCTTATCTGGACATTACTTGGAATTTTAATGCCGTCGACAATTCATCGATCATTTTTGATCGGGTCACATTTGGTAGGTGATCTCGCACGCTATGTAGAATGTCCTAGTAATCTAAGTACTGAAATGTTGCTATCGGATCGCAGGCACTTCAGTTACAACCTTGACAGGAGCGTCTACATTCATGGTGAACAACAATGACCAATCCTCCACTAGCATGATGGATTGTTCAATGTCCTCGGGTAAGAATATATCTAGGCGAAACGTATTCGTCATTCCATTTACCATAAGCCCGATACAGCTGTGTACCTATACCCCATTGTGACTGGCACCTCCACTTTGGATATTTCATCCATGCGAGCGACCGATGCACAGAAATCTGCCTTGACAATTTATGCAACAGATTTTGCTATCGTTCGGGTTAGTGATAGCATCTTCGTCAATCAGGTCTGCTGGCAAGAGCTACAGGGATTAGTCTATGTAAGTTCTTTTCTTTTATATAGAGTCTTCGATCTTTTCACTGAACCGATGATGTATCATCAGACAGATGGACACGCTGAAGTGCATTGGAGTAACTCGATCGTACGCAAGCGCGATATGAATGGGATGGACACTAGCTTCGACGTTTTTCAGGTGCGCATACAGCTCCAACACACTGAACTGAGAATACTGTCCACCTTCGGCTGGCATACCTTGACGCTCTTTTATCCTTAGCCGATGGGAGATTCTGTCATGTACATTTCAAACTCTAGTTTTGAAGGTAAAAAGTCCTCTCCCTGTTTGATGTTGAGAGGCAGGAATAATGTTTTGCTATAGATTTTGGACGGATAGTTTGGGCTTGGACACAATCAAGCACAACAATTTGGAATTCTACATTCCTCAACAACTCTGCGGCGTCCGATAGCAGGATTGCGCTGGTGGGCCCGGTATCCCATCTCACGATTGACAACTGTACCTTCATTGGTGAGGCATTTTGAACATTTACGTTTCATCTTTGCAGAAGCTCATAGCGCTCTAGCTAATGGAGGGGGCTTCCAGTCGTATCAGTATGCTCCGATTACGATTCGTAATTCAATTTTCATAGGTAATTCAGTTTTCTGAACCTCTAAGCTCACCGAAATTAACTACGAGTGGCCTTGCCTACAGATCATGAGGTGATAAAATGAAATACCCAATATACATGGATCTGAAACTAATGGGCATTTCAAAGATTGGAGACTTTGTTGGAACCATGTTCGACCTTGCGAGAGGGGCATGGGTGCAGCTTCAAAACGTGAGCATGACCAGCAGCAGCGAGTTTCCCGTCAATGTCCCTTCCATCGTTGTTATGTACGATGACTCGTATTTTGCAGCGGATGGACTGACGCTTACTGGTAAGCCCTTCGAAACCCGAAATATATGCAACGGAAAAAAAGTTCATGAAACACCTACGAAGGTTACAAGTGCCTCCAGTGTTTCGATATAGAGGATGCCGGCAAGTTCTACTTAACGAATTCTACCATATCAGGTGAAGTGCCATGTCAAACTGTAACTGAACTGACTGATACTCATTCGTATAATTGCAGCTGTTGAAGCGGAAACATTGGTATTCTTCGGCCGCAAACCTATTGATCTCATCACGGGTGTGGAACCCGCCGTGATAACTACGACTTCATTTTTCAGTGAGTATACCTTTTTTACTCGTTTTTCTGAGTTTACTAGGCTAATTTGTTGGATTTATAGATATACAAGGACAGGTTATCTCCGCCGCTCTTACCGTCCTTCATGTTCAGAATTCAACTTTTGTTAATAACAACGGAGGCTCTCTCTTGCAACTGAGGGATACTCAAACAAACTTCTACTTCTCCAATTGTTCATTTACTGGTAGGTTTCTTCGGGAGATGTGTTAGTCTGGCTTATATAACAGACAACATCTTTAGGCAACACGAGTCCTGAGAATGGCGCCGTCGCTAGTACCTGCGGGGGGACTCTGTCTTTCATTGACACCGTTATTGCCAACAACAGCGCAAACGCTCTTGGTGGGGTACGTACCCACAGAACGCATGTCTGTAGGACGAAACTAGTTATAAAACTAATTATTTGGTAGGCAATATTCTGCGACTTCGGGAGCGGCCAGCGTCTCGTCATCAAACGTAGCAAGATTTCAAGCAACACTGCCAGAGTTGGAGGTGCCATATATAGCGATAACTTGGCAAGCGCGGATCAGTTGGTTCTCCAAGATCTGGTGTTTGATGCAAATATCGCCGTCGCCCGAGGTGGTGCATGGTACAGCTCCGCCAAAAGTCCACTTGTGGAAGAAGGGGGAAGTATTGTCTACAACGGCAATATGGCGCCTGGTGCTCCTACTCGAGGAACAGGGCCATTGACGTTAGGTCTGATAGCTCCTGTGGAGCCGTCGCTAGCGGTTTACTCTGGTGATATTTTACCGAAGCTGACTCTGGCTGCGTATGATGCTTACAATCAAACCTATTACACCGTCGAGGATGACCCAATCTTGGTTCTCGAGATATCTGTTCTCTGTCCTTATGGAGTAGAAGCTCATAACGTGACACTGGTGGGCCAAGCGGAGTCATTGCTGGTGGACGGGAGTGCGACATTTCTAGGTATGTTTTTGTTGCCAGCATTTTGGCCCATGTCTCTCTAAACAAAATACCTGTTCCGAAGGTTTGTCAGTTTTAACGAACGCCGGTAACTACACCTTGAAATTTGCGGAGCAACCGGCGCCGGGTATGGATACCTCCTCCCTTCATGATGTCACCCTTCCGCTAGTTATCAAAACGTGCGATCCACCACTCCTCCTCGTAGAAATTGACGGAAGTCCGTATCCACAATGCAGGCCCGGTAAGCAGAGTAGGAGCCCTGCTCTTCCAGGGTTTGGAGAGACTAAAACATCCCTATAGCCTTGTGTCCTCGTGGTTGCTCCCCAGCGGGGGCTTGTGTTGCCGACGGAAACTGCACTTGCTCAGTAGACCCCAGCTACGAAGGCTTTGACTGCCGCTTGAAGAAATCTGTCAATGATTCCATGAGCTTCACATTCGCAAATTCCCTGGTTCCCTATACTATACAAGCACGCGATGTCTTGTTCAGCAATCTCTCGCAGTTGTACCAGCCTGACTATGCTGTTGTATATCGAAGCTTTTCTCCCAGCATAGACACCGTCGTCTTCAAATACTCGCTAATGAAGATTGCCTCCGACGATTTTGTCAGCTACCGCGAGCTTCAGAGCATGATTCCCGGCACCGTTGCTCTCCTTTCGCAATTGGGGCTTCCATCATCCGATGCCTCAATTGTGGCCGGCGACCTTGCAAATATAGATAGAGGGGTACCAGGCATTGTCATCATGGCAATTGCTGTCCTGGGTATCTTCCTGACAGCTGGCAGCGAAATCGTCATATTCCGGAGGGGCAATAACAGTGCTCCTACGTACACTGTCAATTCGCTGTTAGCTGTGGGCACGGCATTTCTGTGGGCATACCCAATTACCGACGCCGTCGAACCCACCTCAATTACCTGCAGAACGCAAATTCTGCTTGTCCCATTCACCTTGGGAATTATTTTGCCGTAAGTTTCTTTTTACGCGAACGGAGTGTCCTGATACTTAACGGCATATATAGATGGCTTCTTGTCAAAGCTTTTTACTATCGATATTACCTCATGAACGGTGTATTGCTGCGGAGAGGGATGTCACGTTCCGACCGCAATGCGTTCCTTTCAGTGTTTACAGGGCTCCACCTTCTCTTTTGGGTGAGATATTGTTGGTGTTCCTTTGCTTCACTTCGGTTAACTGACTACGCCTTTCATCCGAAGGCCATTACAATCGTCTGGCTAACTACTGATCTACCCGTGCCAAAAATTCAGTATGACGAGTCTTCTCAACTACGATATTGGACATGCCAGGGTTCCGCGCCATTTACTCGCTCCCCTCATCTCTTCACTCTTCTTAGCTTCTCGTGTCTACTGCTGGCCATCTCAGGCGTTGTGTTGCGTCGGATCGGCTCCTCTCAGTTTGCATCTTCTATTCCAGCGCGCCAGGATAAGATGATCTTCGGAAACGTTTTCAACTTTCTTGTCCTGGGTGCATTGCTAGTGGGGCTAGTAATCCCCGAATTTCTGAACGCAAGGATCCAGATTGCTGTTCGAGCAGTTGTCATATTTACGGCCGCAGCGACTCTTGTTGCTACCAGCTTCATTTTCCGCATGGTGGAAACCAAACGGGAAGGAACTGCGGGAGAAGTGACACAGTCCATGATACTTAAAATCGCCTTTTCCACCAATCAATCGCAGAAACCTCAAACGGAGTATATTCCTGTAAAGTACAATAAGAGCTCTCTGGTTTTCTGGTCGGCAGCGGAGATGGATCTACAGCTCCCGCATCTAGTTCTATATGATTCTGAAAGCAAGGCGGTATGTTATTCTTCATTATTCATAGGTTCTTGGCTTACTGAATAAATTGTAATTTTCAGGGTCGATTTTATGACTTGAAGAAATGTCAGATAGTAAAAGCTTCAAACTACTGCATACGGATAAAACCTAAGAAGCAAATGGAGGAGTTACACATTCAGCTGAACTCGGATGATGCCGTGAGCGCCTTTCTGCAAAAAGCTGAAAGCTATTTAAATCAAGCAAGGAAAGAGCAAAATCTATAAGTTACTTGTAGTGTTGGGTGCATCTACTTGTATTCTGTAATCGTCGCCGTCAATAAAGGAATGATCGGGGCTTGATAACGTAATCATGGCTGGATTTGCATGCGCCACGCATGAATGCCTGGTCACGAGGACGAAACTCATTACGAAAATCGTGCCCAGTCCCAAAACTAGAGTTTCGCACCTGAAGAACACACCGCCATCGCCACTATCAGTTCAAGGCCAACCATTCTAAGGGATTCATACGGCAAGCATACTGCGCATCTATCGGCAAATATCTTCAAGGGAAGTGAGAACAAACTCTGAACTCGGTAAGTTCATCTACTCCACTGCGCTGCGCCGCAGTGCGTTTGTGCAATATCAGAAGTAAATATGAAGTGGAAGGTCCCAATAGATACACGACTGCTTCTAGAGGCTTACTATTTCATTTGCCTGCATCAGGCTACTCTTTCCTGTTGACTCTGGGTTCGGGTTGATTACGACTTCCACGCTGCGGATTTGTTGCAATAATGTCCACCCCAGCAAAGCGTCGTCTCATGCGGGACTTCAAACGCCTGCAGACTGATCCTCCGGAGGGAGTATCAGGTGCCCCCTGTCCGGACAATGTACTATTGTGGAATGCAGTCATATTTGGTCCTGAGGATACACCATTTGAAGACGGAACTTTCAAATTGGCATTGACATTTGATGAGAGCTACCCAACCAAACCACCGCATGTCAAATTTATTAGCAAAATGTTCCACCCGAATGTTTATGCTAATGGGGATCTTTGTTTGGATATCCTCCAAAATCGATGGTGGGTACAGCGTTGCAGTTCAAAAAAACTTGAAATTTGTGTCGCTCATGTGACTGTTCTTTTAGGTCCCCTACCTACGATGTTGCAGCTATTTTGACATCCATTCAATCCCTTTTGCATGACCCGAATCCCAATAGTCCCGCCAACGCTGAAGCTGCACGGCTTTTCCAGGAAGACAGGAAGGACTACAATAAGCGGGTGCGAGAGACGGTGGAGGAATCATGGTTGAATTGAGCGCAAAAAAATGGGTGCACTGGGAATGGGAGCTTGATCGCTTCGCATTGGCAGTCGGCTCATGTATATATTACATGTTATTGTAGCTTGTGTTAATGATATTCATTGTTGGAGAATAATAAACTCGCATCCATCCTGTATCAGCACTCCGTTTACTCCTCAACAAACTGCCGACTAAAATTCATACTCGTTGGATGACTTTTAAGAATCTAAGGCTTGCAGATGGAACCCTGGCCGGTGTTTATCCTTCTCCGTTGCCATTCGTTGAGAATATTGCTTCCAAATTGTCGTAGTGCTCCTCTACAGCAGCACGATGCTTTCATATCTGATAAACTCAATGCTGAATGAGGGATGCCAATACCGCAAAAACGAACAGTGCATACTAACCCCGTATCAGAATATGGGTTGAATGGGCGCACGAATTCCAAAAGATGAGATACTTTTGCGTGGAAAGAGCAAGGTTCTCTATTGAACTGTAGCGCTATAAAATATACTCATTTTGACTATATGTACTACGCCTATTACAGGTTCAGCAGTTCAAGGTCCACATCCTCCCAGTACCTAATTCTGACGTCGACCCCGATAGTGCTGCTAAAGCTACCAATCACACTGCATCGAGCCGAAGCAAAGCAATGCATTCTCCGCTGTTCACTTACTCTGAACATGGCAATAAACCGCAAACATCCTCGTCATCACCGTCTCTTGGTGCGGATCAAGACCTAGACGTACTCACATCGGATTCGCTCAGGTATTTCTCATTCATAGAATCTAGCCTTGATTTCAATCTCTGTGATGCGCGGCCGTCGAATATTCTTCTACCATAACACGCCGATTGCAAGTGTGAACCGCTTAGTCCGCGCGCATAGTGCTAGGTTGGGTTCTGCCTAATTCCATCCCTGGTAGAAGATGTGGAGTAGCGACATAATTTGCTGTTTTGTTTACTTTTGGGAGCGTGTTTCCCAACCCAAGTAAGACGACAGAGAATGGAAAGAGATCAAAAGCAGCACCAGCATTCGAAGGGACATTGAGGTGTATCTGAAAACATTCACGATAGTTTCCACAATGTTTCACATGAGTCTGACGGGTAACGCGGCAGGAAAGGAGAAGGATGTACATACCGCCACCCTTCCCGATATTCAATTCTTCGGTGGTGAACAAACTGTAACCGTCCTCGGTTCGTCCTGCAACGCATGTTGACTGAGATGTATGGACTCACAGAAAAAAGCTATCTTGAATCTTACGTTTAGCCTTCAGTCCTCTGCTGTCCCCAAATCCATCGTCCTCCGCCACTGGACGTTGCTGGCTACTTTTGAAGTCCGGCACAGAAAATTGTATGGTTTCCACAACCGGTTTCGGTCGTTGGCTCCGAGCTTCAATCACTTTAGCAGCAATATCTGTCTCATCCGTTAGGTGCTCAAAGGTTTCTAGTTGCAGGTCGTCCTCCTTCCCCTTGGTAATTGGTCCTTCTGTAACATCCCCGGTGGCCTCTTTTGAAATATCCCCGTCATCTAGTTTTCTTTCCTGATTCTTCTTCTTTGCCTTCTTCTTCTTCTTTACAAGCGCTTCGACAGATACTGCTGAGGCAGGTTTGGGGCCTTTTCCACTGAAAATATCGTCGATCTCGCTGGATGGTTTCGCCTTCTTGCCGCTGAATATATCGTCAATTTCATTCCCCGCTTTTCGTTTGGCAGCGGTGTTTGTTAGAGAAGGTATCGCATTCGTACCTACTGTACTGCTGTTTGGTGCTGGCATGATGTTACGGCTATCGCGTGAAAGTGAAGAAGGACAAACGCAGCCCCGAAATGCGAAATGGATGGAAGGCATTCGAATGAATGGTTAATCAGTGCAAACCGTTCTTGGGTTGAGATCATCCCGTTGCCTTCGACCAGTTTGCTGTGGGTCTACATGGATGTGAATGTCTATTCTTCGCCGCTATGTGAAACTGTTCCCACTTCCTTCCATCACCTTGAGTGGGCACGAGGGTATAACTGACGAGGATATTCTGGCCTTTGAAGGGCAACAATGCCGTTATTTTTGCCATAGCCGCGACACCAAACACACATGTGAGCGTTTTGTACGCGATTCATCACATGTGGTTACATACAGCTGGGAGGGTGAACGCATGGTTGAAGCTTTCCCTTCTGGGGTTGAGTCCTGCGAGGAGCGAAAAAAAACATGGTCACAATGGTTCCAACTAGCGAGAGTAGTGACGGCGGACTCTGTCAGCCAACCGACAGAAGGCAACGGCAAGAGAAAGTGGGAGTGCAGTGATTTGACAGGATTTGTCGTCACCCACATACGATACAAACAAATGCGAATACATTACTTGGAGGCGGACAAAATTGTGTCAATTCGTACATTCCATACTACTGAAAATCGTGCCAATTATGGGATTGAGGAAGAAGACGCCATCCTATTAGACCCCGGAACTGGAGACCGGCGCTGTCAGCACATCGAGAATATGGACTTTGCTGACAATCCATACGAGCAGTCCTTACGCTTATATCTGGACACCATGTTTGATAGATTGTTCTGTCCAGCCAATACAGACTTGCTCTCGCAAACTGGTAGTACCGTCAATAATGCTCCTACCGCATTTCGTGGCTTGAACGAAGGTTTATTAGCTCACTCAGCAAGTTATCATCCTGCGGAATGCGATATTTGCTCCGTGTCCATGCCATTTCACTCCGCCGTACCCAAGACGCCGTCCGGTAGTCAGGTATCTCTGGTTTCGCGCCATGTGCCAGAGCCAGCGAACAGGTCGGACGTCTTCCCACTGGAAAGTAACACGATATCGTGTCCTACCACCGTTGACGAAGATGAGACAGTGGCATCGGCCTCTACACTTCCAACACCGGAGATGGTCGGTAACCCAACAAGCCAATTGCCACTGATATCTAATGATAGCAATGGTGATCAGTCGAGGCCTAAAGAAGTGCATGATACACGGTTATCAACTGGCACGACTTCGAATTGCGTGATCCGCCCTCCGTCTTCAAAACCAACACCCAGAAACGCCCGTCGGAATCTACACGGCTCGATATTTTTAACGACATTAAAGAATTGCAAGCCAAACACTCGTTGTAACATCCTCTGTGTCGTCACGCAGATCAATCCCATCCAAGATATAAAGCTTACCAAGGGAAAATGTGCTGGACAAGTCGTGCGCATGGCTTCCATCCTTGTTTCTGATAATGACGTTCCCTTTTTTCCGATAACCTTGTGGAGAGAGCACTCGGTCTGGGCCGATCGCTTAGAAGTTGGTGATGTGCTCCAGCTAGGTGGTATGCATTTCCTTCCGCAGGCCGTAGTGAACGAGTTAACTCAGGCTCGGGACCCCGGATGATAGAGATTGATATTAGAGTATACCGGGGGAAGATATCCGGCACAACTGTATTTCGGTCCGCCTGCAAAGTTCTACATCGGTTATGCAGGGACACGCCCATCTATGACGGTACGTTGTCTTTTATGTCTGGAGGCTTGCCGTAGTCTGATTTTCTTTCTTCAGAGACGAGCGAGCCCGGGGAAGCGTACCACTATGACAGCATCGAGCGACTGCTGAGGTGGGCAAGCCGTCAACCTTTATTGCGGTTTCATCGCTTTGGTCTCGTCCAAGCACCGCAACGTACGTATCAAGATTCGTCTGTCGCGTGAAAAAGACGACGAACTAATATGATATTTTTTTGCAGAGCTGGCCGCTCTATTGGATCATGAGGACGGCCAACGGGAACGTGCAGATGATCTAACTGTGCCTGTGGTACGCTTTAGCAGTCCCGGCGATCTCATCTCTGGCCGCTTCTCGGGGGTAGCTTTAGTCAAGGCGCAGGCTTCTCTCATTAGCTTTCCACGTCTGCAATTGTCAGTTCCTCCGAAATCCATTTCAGATATCAGTTACGACAGCAAACTTGTCACATGTTATTGTAGAACATGCGGATCCGAGGCCACACAAGAGGGCTTGAACCACATATGGCGTTGCCCCCGTTGCTTTGTTACTGACCAGGATCTTGCGTGGACTTTCCAGAAGGCGGTCCTCAATCTTGTTGATGCAGCAGATGCCACAAAGGCATTGATCCAAGCGGGCATAGGGTTTGGCATTTTGGAAGAAATGTTTGCCAATATGGTGTCACCTCGTTTGCTAGCTGATAAAGCTGCGTCAGATCGGCGGAAGAAGAAAGTTTGGGATAGACTCATGAGGCTGTGTCATGCCTTGACGAATCCAAGTTCTGCACAATGTATATCGATGCGCTTAAAAGTGCAGACTAGTGAGGACGCCCATGGTTTTGTGATCAATAGGCAGGTGGACGTCCTGAGAGTGGAGCTTTTTGGTGACGGTGGAAGCGATTCGGCAATATAGTTTAATACTTCACTTGGTCTTAACGTTTTGGAAGGGCGGTCTGGTCATTGTATTAAATAGAGACATAATAGCAGGACTCTGTGCGTGACCCACATGAGGCATTAACCAGCACACTTCGGGTCTGCGTCGGCTGAACTCATTCGCGATCGGCAGCCCTTTCTAAGATAAAACACAATATAACGCATGTTTTTGGGACAATCTACTCCATGCTAGGTCCTTCCACCTGCCGCATGGTGCGTGAGTAGTTTAGCTGTATGGAGAGAGAAGCGTTTAGAAATGTGCTCGACGGATGACCCTTGGAAGGTTTACGATGAGAAGTTGAAATAAAGTTATGGATCAAGCAACAGCTGCTGCACTCAATGAGTTGCCCGCATACTCGATCGTGTTGTTTAGAGGATAACTGGACTCCGTATGATATGGTTCAGTGCCATCCGTAGAGAAAGGCTTGACCACATCCGCATTGCAAATCTCTATTCTTCTTCTTGGAGCAGCATCGGCTAATACCCAGCATGCAAAATACGACGGAGAGACGATGAGATCCCTTTAATACAACTATAACAAGCAGAAATCTAAGGCACACAATGACCCTACATAATTCCAAACACATAAATGTCCTTTTCCTGATATAAAATGAAAAAAAAAAAAAAAACTTGCTACCCAAATACTGCGCTACTCAAATCCTGCCAAATCCTTTGAACATATATGTTTCCAAATCAGAGAGTCTTCTCTTGCATCTAGTCATTCTATCATCTAATTATAACAGAATACAGCCACCTTTAGCCTTTGGAGCTGGAACGTCGTCCTTTGATGGAAGAGGCTCAGATGTGATTTCTGATCTCTCATCCAAAATACCATCCTGACGAGGAGGTGGAACAGTTTCGGCGGGGGAATAATGTTCTTCAGCATCTGCATTTTGCAGGAAGCTTTCGGCGGGAACCACAGGTTCAGTAACGGACTCCCCGTCAGAGTCCTCGATAATAGGAGACTGCGGCTCTGCAGGCTCTGGAGCTTGTGAGATACTTTCCGTGGAAACCACAGGTTTAGCCACGGACTTGCCAACAGACTCTTCGATAATAGATTCTTCGGGCTCTGGAACTTGTAAAGCGCTTTCCGCAGAAATCACAGGTTCAGCCACGGACTTGCCAACAGACTCTTCGACAATAGGAGAATGCTGCTCTTCAGGCTCTGAAGTTTGTGAAACGCTTTCCGTAGAGATCACAGATTCAGTAACAGGCTCCTCAAGAGGCTCTTCCTCCACAGTAAGCTCACGCGCGGCGTCAACGACATCTGCTGGGGTTGCCATGCACGCTACCTCTTCATTGGGTTGCTCAGCAGGTTCTTCGCGACGGACAGCTGTCTCCGAAACTTCTGGCTCAGTTTCCATATGGACATGGGTGTCTTCTGCGTCTCCAACATTTACCGGCGCGGTGCGGAGCGTCTCTTCTGCAACACCTTCAACCTCCGTGGCAATTGTGTTCACTACCGCTTCGACAACAGATTCCTGTTCTGATGTCCCAAAAGCTTCTTCCGGTGCGGTTATTCCAACCTCCCTTTCGATGGGTACTGCGACAGCGTCCTTGAGTAGCTCGTTCGCCACCACAGAATCCGTGCTGTCCACTGACTCGCCAGTTTGCTCTGCTGCGAATGTTTCAATCTTCTTCAGTGATTCTTCTGCGGCTGGCTCGGTGTCCTTCACAGTCCCCTCAACTTCAGAGATAGTCTCCGAGCCAGCTGGACTAATGATTTCGCATACCGCTTCAATGAGTTGATCCTGTAGAGCTACATTCTCAACCGAGCTAGGCTCCACGTCCGCACCCAAAACATCACCAATAGTCGACACAAGGACGCTGTCTTCCTCTGCTGCGTCTTTGGCAGATTCTAGTGTATTCGACTGAATGACGCTCTCTTCAGGCAGTTCAATCACATTCTTGAGCTCCGGAACTTCTGATGCAACAATGTACAGGGAAGTCGGAGGTTGCTCGGGCTCTACTTCAACTTGGGGGACTTCCATTGGTTGTTCACCGATTGTCACTTCTTCACCAGCAGTAATACCCTCATCGACCTCGGCCACTTCGGATGATTGCTTCTCTGTCACTGCCTCCTCCAGCTCGGCTTGAGGAATCTCGCGGAGAGTCTCAACAGTAGGCTGCACGTTGCCCTGCGTATGATCTGCGGGGAGTCCTTCATGTATCTGCACCTCTGCAGCCTCAGATGGAAGAGGCGTTTCATCAGTCTGTACCTCCTCAACCGCTGTCTGCGATGCAAAATCTATTCCCTCCGCAGAGATGCCTTCAGTGGCCGGCTCCCCTTCAGCAGCAGTGTCCTCCATAGAGACCACGGCATCGTCGTCCACAAGAGCCCTTTCAACCGGCTGGACCTCAGCCACTGCTTCTGAGACATAATCTGCCCCTTCCGCCGGGATAACCTGAGGGGCCGGTGTTTCGTCATTACCTTCCTCCTCCACCGGGCCGTCAGCGGTTTGGCTCTGGTCCAGATCGTCATCATCGGTCTTCTCTTCAAGTTCTCCATGATCTTGCATCATATTGACCTTTTTGCTTGGCGTAGCGGGGGTAGTCAGCGGTGTATCGTCCGCTCCTCTTTTGGCAGGGACGACAGTCTCCTGGAAGACTTCGTCACACGTTCTTTTGGCTGGGATGACAGTACTAGTATCGTCTGACGCCAAGACTGCCGGTTCCGTGGGCGACTGGTTCCCCTCGACAGGGGAGATCGCTGTCGGTACCCCTTCCACGGGGTTGGAGGGTGACTCGCTGGTATCCATGAAGCCTGCCGCTGGTACAACAGAAAGAACATCGGCAATGACGGGAATAGTATCGTCGCCATTACCTTTTTCTGTCTCTTCACTGGCAGCGACAACTGGGTCTGCGTCACCCACTTCTTTTGCCTGCTGCTCTTCATCAAGCTCCAAAGTGCGCCGCCAGTGAGCCTCGTATTCGTAGGACAATTTCAGATGCTCATTCACTGTTTTTTGAGCTTCATCATCGGCTTCAGCTGTGAGCTTGTCCTCAGTGGATTCCACAGCATCCAGGCCGGTGTCTAAGTGACTAACGTCGTGAGTAACCTCGTTGGAAATTGCGGCATGTCCAGCAGCATCAGAAATATCCTCCTCTGTAGCTATTTCACGATTGCCTTCTCCTTGAGCAGCCTCTGCCTTCAGCGCATCTTTCCAATAGGCCTCATACTCGTAGGAGAGCCTCAAATGCTCATCCACAATTTTCTGTGCGTCCACAACGTGTTCATCCGCGTCTGCTACCTTTGGCATACCAGGCTCCTCATCATTGACCGCTTTCTGGAGCGACGGTGATGGTGCGGGATCAATGAGTGGTATCCTCTTTGGAATGGCATCCCAATTACCAGGTTCGTCCTTGACAAGTATCTCAAATGGCTCTGAGGCTTCAAATTTAAGGGGTTGGTCCCCGGGAACTGGAAGCTCCAATTTCCAGGAGTGCAACATGGTACGGAAGGCTTCCTCGGTATGTGGTCGTTCGTAGGCTGGATCCCCGATGATAGGGTGTCCGATGGAAGCCAGGTGCACACGAAGCTGGTGACGGCGGCCCGTCCGGGGACTCAACATAACGTGAGTAACCGGGTATGTGAGGAAGTATCCACGCTTCAATACTTGCACTCGCGTTTCCGATGGTTTACCAGGATTTTCTTCGGTACCATCAGCAACTATGACGCGCTTCTCGTCCGTGGGATCATCAGTCAATGGTTTGTCAATAAGAAAATCGTCCTCCACTATGTGACCCTTGACCAACGCGGAGTAGGTCTTTTTCACTTGTCGGCGAACGAAGCATTTTCCGGCAACGCTCGCAGCCTTTTTGGACAAACCCCAACAATGGACTCCCGACGTGACATAGTCGAGCTGGTGAAGTAGGTATAGCTTCTTGTGCTCAGTGAAATGAGCATATAAGAGAGATTCGGATGTGGGACAGCTAGTCGTATCTCCGTCAATACGCAAATCCCATGGCTTGTTGGTAATGAGGTACGTATCGGGTTGGTAATAGAGAACCTCGATATCATAATTTCGCTGGTAGCGAGGATCATATCCTGGAACTACAATGGGTGGGCTGGGTGACGGGCTCAAGGAGGTTGTGTCGACGAGTGCGACTACCTCAACAGACGTAGATTCGCTTTCGCTATCCGCAGGATCCGAGTCTGTAGACGCAGAGCTGTTAACGGCAAGCACAGCAATGTTCTCTTGTGCGTGCTGGGTTGAGCGTATGAGGTCGCTCTCCGGGATAGTCTCCGGCATAGAAGATACGATAGGAGTCTCCCTTTCAATCTGGCTAATCGGCTCCTCCACCATCGCCTCTTCCACTGTTTCTATATGCGGGTTAGCAAGGTCCTCTTGGATGGACTTTTCCGTATTATCGTTCGCAAAATCCTCCTGAATGGGACTCTCCTCTACAACAATGCCTTCCTCAACCTTTTGCTCCAAAATCGGTACATTGATATCACTCTTCAAAGGAGTTAACTGTTGCATAGGCTGCTTTGCTCCGACTGTCTCCAAAACGGCGGATGCAAAAGATTGCGGGGGACCTTCCAGTTCGTCCGTGACCATGGTACCTAGTCCAGACAATATCTAGTAAGAGTGTTAGCATCGTTATTAGTTCACTCATACAAGTAGTTTAACAATCGCGTACCGATTGGCTGAGAAACTTGGTGAGGAAAACTAGTGGCAGCCACCATCTGACGTTCCGACTCAACATATCGAGGTGCGTTGTTGCCATAGATACCAGTAGGTTGGTATCGGACAACGCGGGCAGGTTTCATTTTTGTTCCAGTTGGACAACGGCAAATCCTTGAACATCTTGGCTTCAGCATGATCGATATCAACCTTCTACGAGTGGACAAGGGTGGGAACCCCGACGTTGTTCGTGAATCGCAACGTAAGCGTGGAGGTGGCGCGAAGGTCGCTCTTGTGGACGAAGTAATTGCGTTGGACGATGATTGGAAGAAGGGTAAGGCACCTCAGTGGTTTCCCCTGGAACTTCTTTTGTTTGATCAAGTTGTGGTATTCTTTATTGGATAGCCCGATTCCAAGCCGATGAGGTAAACCGCAAAATCAACGCAATTGGTAATGAGATCAAAAACTTGGCAAAGGCAAAGAAGAAAGACACACCAGAGTGGGATCAGCTTCAAAAGCGAAAAGCAGAGGCAGAACTGGAAAAGGTTGAAGCGAACCGTATTTCTGACGATAAAGAGAAAATCCTGCATCAGAAGCTTGGCTTGATCGGTAACCTGGTCCATGACAGCGTGATTGACTCATCCGATGAAAGAAACAACGGGTTGATAAAATCGTGGTGGCCCGAGGGACGAACGGAAAATGCCGAGATAGAGAAAAGGAAAGCTTTGGGAGGGAAAGACGCAAAAGGTGTCCCTGGACTGTACAGTCATCATGAAGTCCTGGAACGCATCGCTGGCTACGACTCACAACGAGGTAGCGTCGGATTGCCTTAAATTCTTGGGAATGGATTTGTTTAAGTTGATGGTGTATCGCTTTCAGGGACCAATGTTGCTGGTCATCGCGGTTACTTCCTGACCGGCCCCGGCGTTGATCTCAATCTCGCCCTCATTCACTACGGATTGGATTTCCTTGAAAAACGTGGCTACACGAAGCTGTGGACTCCATACTTTATGAAAAAGGATCTGATGTCCAAAACTGCTCAACTCGAAGAGTTTGACGAAGCCTTGTACAAAGTTGGAGAGGGATCTTCGCAATCGGAGGTCGACGGTGACGAAAAGTACCTAATTGCCACCAGCGAGCAACCGATCAGTGCCTTCCATGCTGGAGAGTGGTTCACAGAACCGGAAAAGGAATTGCCCAAGAAGTATGCTGGACAGTCCACATGTTTCCGGAAAGAGGCGGGTGCACACGGAAGAGACACATGGGGCATCTTTAGAGTGCACCAGTTTGAAAAAGTGGAGCAATTTGTATTGACTGACCCAGAGAAGAGTTGGGAGATGCATGAAGAAATGCTGGCTACCGCGGAAGAATTCTATCAGAGTGTATGTATCCTGGTGGCTTCATGCTTTTTTAAGAGCCGGCTGTAATTTACAAACTGTCATGTGCAGCTCGGCCTACCTTACCAAGTGGTTTCCATTGTGGCTGGAGCACTGAACAACGCTGCAGCGAAGAAGTACGATCTGGAGGCGTGGTTCCCCTTTCAGAACGAATATAAGGAGCTCGTTTCATGCAGCAACTGTACAGATTATCAAAGTCGCTGCCTGGAAATTCGCGTGGGAGCCAAGAAATTGAATGACCAAACTAAGAAATATGTCCACTGTCTCAATTGTACATTGACTGCAACGGAAAGGACAATCTGCTGTATTTTGGAAAACTGGCAAACGGAAGAGGGTGTTGTTGTGCCACCTGTATTGAGACAGTACATGGGTGGTAAAGAGTTCTTCCCGTTTGTGAAAGAGCTGCCTGGAGGCAAAAAGGTACGCTTATTTCTGAGAAGCTTGATTGTCTCTCATTGGGCTCACCTGATCGGTTTCTTTTGATTAGGGAGGTAAAGGAGGCAAAGGTGCGGATGATTTGGCGAAAGGAGTCAACAAGATGACGGTTTAAGTTTTAGATTAGACGGTAGATAAATTGTAGTATAGCTATTCCCCCGCACTATGGCGAAAGATATCATGAGGATTTGTAATTTTCAGAGCCAAAGTTTCAGGGGATGGAAATGGGTTTCCTCAACTGCTCCTCAACACAACACCATCCTGCATGTATTTATATTGTCTTTGCCAACTTCGGACAGTAGCTGAACGCCCTGTCCAGTTAGATATCCGGTGGGGCAGCACCGCCTCCATGACTTGCTTTTGGCGACATTGGCAACTTCCTATCTGTTTCTGACCCTCTCCGTGACCCTCCCTCTCCGTACACTGGGCTGAAAGCCCCATATCGGTTTTCACTAAGGTTCGGCGATATATATCCACTGCCATATGCATATCTTGGGTTCATCCCTTGCGGGGTTGGTTGTCTATGTCCGATTGGTGGCTCTGGAGCTTTCAAGCTGGTTTGACTAGTGGACGATGTCCCAAGTCCAGCATTTACTGGGTGGTTAGTGTTCTCGTGTTGAGGACCGCTGCTCCCATCGTGGAAGTTTGCATAAGATGAATGTCCCATTGGTGCCGGCGAGGCAGGCTGGCCGGACAAATAGACAGGTCAATTACCGGTAGACTCACGGGTATAGGGTGAGAGCTGCATACTCACCTTGAGAATTTTAGGTTCGGCATTGCTACTTGTTCCAAACGTAGCTGTTGGGATGAAGTTCATGGCCGGCGCAGGGCTGCTGGTACCACTTTTATTGCCATCTGGGTTGAAAACGTCTACATACCGATTCCGTGCACCTCTCCGTCCAGCACCAGATCGCTTGCCTGCCAGTGCAGCGCCAAACGCCGGATTGTCTAGAGCGGGTGACGGAGCCGGTGACGGCTGAGCGGAGCCAGGTGCACTGGGCGGGCGGGAAACATCCGCATTTACAGGTGCTCCAGAGGCAGGTGGGAGTCCTTACCATGCGGACAACGGAATGAAATTGGTACTGGGTAACATCCCGACACGACAGCAGAGGGCAATATGACTTACCAGGAGTTCCCAACCTCGAGACCGGAGCCGACATCGACTTTGCCATTGGCGGCGGCGGTAGTTCTGTACTCTGTTCTTCCTTCGCATCCGCATTTTTATTCACCCACTTTTTCTTCTTCTCATCATAGTAGAAGGCATTTTTCTCCCCAAGGTTAGCCTTTTTCGGGCCAGACCCTTCTTTTGTTTGTGCATCATCACTTCCTCGACGCCGCCCCGAGAATAACGATCCGAAAGCCGAGAACAGTCCTCTTGACTTGCTTGCATCGGATTTAGCAGCCTCGCTTTCTGATTTACTTTGCTCTGCTGGTTGTTCAGTTGACGTAGGTTCGGTAGCGGTTGTCTGAGTTGAAGCTTTTTCCTTGTCCCGTCGCACAGCTGAATTACCTAGTCCCAACGGATCTTCTTCTTCTATGACACCAGCGGGAGCTGGTTGCGATTGCGACTCAGGTACTGCCGCTTGTGCCTGTTGAGTGACTTGCTGCGGCTCGGCATACGAACCGCCGTAGTATGAATTCCATTGGACCGGCTGTGTTTGCTGCGTTGATGAGCTTTCCTTCTGGTCCGAGACGGCCAATTCATCAGTTCCAAAGCCCTGCTCGTATGAAGGGTAACCGAATTGGGCCGAATTCTCGGGTAGTTGACTATACTCCCCTTGGATTCCCCCCTGTGCATTTTGCTCCCCGTATGAATATTGCGCATAGCCCGTCTGTGATTGATCGTAGTGCTGCGGTGCGTATTCAGGTTGGTAATACCCCTGCTGGTCATACTGTTGCTGCAGACTTTGGTCTGCTTCTCCAGCTTCATTAAGAGGTTTTCCATCGTGCTGTCCTGCAAGCGTTTGATCCGATCCAGTTTGTTGCGGTGCATTGTGTGCAATATCGGCATACGCTTGCTGATGGGGTTCGCCGGCGTAGCTCTGGTCATTGTATCCATACTGCTGATACCCATACGATTCTTGGCCTTGTCCTTGCCACGCGAGAGCCTGGTCTCCATGTCCTTGCCAATCGTTTGTATCATGACCGTACCCTGTCGCGTAGCCATATCCGTTTTGAGTGACGGAAACCGGCTCGGTACCATTAGCCGCCTCCTGGCTTGTTACAGCTGTCGCCCCGTCATAGTTGTTCGTAGCGGAATATGGTTGATGATAAAACATCGGTACTGTTGCAACTGACATCGCGCCCTGATCTACGGCAGCATATCCCGCTCCTGCTAGTTGAGAATACCCTGCTTCCCCGGGCTCTGCGCTGATTACGGGTGTGGAGGATGGTCTTGGGTCCACTGGCAGAGTCATGGGTGAAGCGCTTCCATACAGAGGGGCTGACAACGGCCCAGGTGTGGTTCTGCCAACGTGCCCAGCAGACGATAATGGTGTAGCGGCTGCTGCAACGGAGGTAGCAGTGTCCGCTTCCCCAAGCGCGTTGTTCATAAACCTGTCCAAGCCACGAGCTCCAATACTACTAAGCTTACTCAACCAGCTACTGCCTTCCTTCTCGGAAGTCACATTTCCAGACTGAGCGGCGGCCAGCCGGCCACTCAGTAGGCCCAGAACCTCTCCAAAAGTACGATGGAAATAGGGACTACCCCGTGCGTATGTTTTGACCACATGCTCGACGCTCTCGCAGTACTTTGCCGCTTGTTCATTCAGACCAAGATCAGCCAGTAGAGAGGCGTACCATATTTTGAAGGCCTGCAAATGAGGAAGGCTGTTGGCTACACCGAGATTATTCCATAAGCTTTGGGAAAATTCAAAGATCTCGGTTTTCTGCAAGGCGTCCAAGGAACGGAAGAAAGTTCCCGGGTATGTACGGTGATCTGCACCTAGCAACACTACGCGGGCCTGTGGCGAATCAATCCCTCCAACAGTGTTCGGCAGCGATGCCAAAAGATAACTAGGATTCAAACCATGACATCATCCATCCGAGTGTAGTTCAGATTAAGGTTGAAAGCAAACTTACCAGCATTGTGCGGCATTCTTCTTCCCATAGGAGTGCAGCCGGTCACCCAACATTGCAACCGCGCTCAAATCGTTGGGAGTCCGATTTGACAAGATAAGGCAGAGGATTTCTCCCCACTTGGAAAGATACTGTAAAGATGGAGTTACTTGGCCTTCGGCAATTTCAGGAAGAAACTCCCCAACTGCATAAAAGGTAGTTCGGTCAATGACAAAATTCGCAAAGTGATGCGCAAAACATAACCTTACTAGCGGTTGGGCCCATGCCTCCAAAGAGAGCAAACAAAACTCGGAGTCCAGGTCTATCCACATGCTCTACTGCACCGCCCGTTCTTCCTTCATTGGTACTCAAGCCACCCGCGGTAAACTCGGAACGAGCAAACTGCATGATAACGTCGCAATAAGTCTCCTTGCTGATATTGGTAGCAACTACTAATGCGTGTGGCCAGAGATTCGCTCCAACTGCCAGGTTGCATGCTCCCTCTCGATCTCCTTGCACAAGAGCTGCCTGTATTCTGTCCATGACAGAGCCTTCGAAAAGGGTTGGAACAGCAAGCACCTCCCGGATTTGTTGGGTGATAGAATCTATCTTCGCCGCCCTAATCATATCAAAACCATGAGTCACAGCAAATATGCGTTCCAAATCACTTTTGTAAACTTACGGCGCAGATAGAAGGGTCCCATCGTTGTCAACAAGCATCTTGATCAATTTGACCAAGGCCACGCCATCTTCAAGCTCATCCAAGGCCTTATCCTCGTCCACGGACGCTCCCATTCCATCCCGTAACTTTGCCTGCAAGTCAGTCGCGGCTCTGTCGCGATCAGTCTCAGCGGCTTTTATCATGTCCTCGGCAAACTTCAGCACATCCTTCTTCTTGTGTTTGATTTTTGACCCCACCAATGGGCCAGGCACCTTTAAAATTTCCTGTATCCACGCATTGTCGACAACCTTGTGCACGGGGATCACACACATCGGCCCAGGATACGATTTTTCCATCATCGATGGTCGACCCTGTGAATCAGTTATGTAGCGATTCTGCCGCTTGGGTCCAGTGATGAAAAGTTTTCCACCAGAACCGAAAACAGCGACGCAGTGCCCACGATGACGACCAAGAGGATCCTGAAATTCGGGTGCCTGCGGCTCTGAAGGTAACTTTACTCCGTAAGTTGAACCCTGGGCATTCGGGTACTGGTGCGGAACCGGGGATGCACGCCCGTGCGAATCGGTACCTGGATAAGCTGAAGCATAGCCCGATAACCCTGTTTGACCGTACATTGGCGTCTTCGTCCGCCGTGGTGCGCTGCTACGATAGATATTTGTACCCGTCGTAGTAGACGTCACCGCAGATAGACTGGGAGGAACGGAAGGGGGACGTCCAATGTCTCCGACAGACTCGACTCCTGGAGTAGTCGTGCGAACCGGGACACCCGGTGTGGTGGTGCGAAATGGGGCCTCGTGGCCCCCGTATTGTCGAAACACCCCCGGATCACGCGGTGGATTGCTCGAGAAAGAGGCGAGCCCAGCTATGGAAGTTCCGCATTTGCTGCAAAAATTTGACTCGGTGTCGTTCCTCTTGCTGCATTTCGGACATGCAATGTATTCCAGTCGATTTGACACGCTGCTATTAACACTTACATTGCTCCGTTGATCGAAATCTGGAGACATGATTTGCGCGCTATTTAAAGACTGCGTTGACTGTGAAGGCTTCATACTCAGATCCCCGTTTGCTTGGGATGTCCCATTCTGCCCTTCCATGTAATGTCCATATGCCGGTAAATCGTTGGGTTCCATAACCCGTGTTGAACCAAAGGCACTGTAGTTTCCGTAGTATCCCTCCTGAAGACTTCCCTCTTCATGCGAAGATGTTCCGGACACGCCATAGGTATGGGAGGCTTGTGTTGGGTCAGGTATGTCGGTTCCAAAGTCACTGTAGTTTCCGTGGTATACCCCCTGAAGACTTCCCTCCTCATGCGACGATGTTCCGGACACGCCATAGGTATGGGAGGCTTGTGTTGGGTCAGGTATGTCGGTTCCAAAGGCACTGTAGTTTCCGTGGTATACCCCCTGAAGACTTCCCTCCTCATGCGACGATGTTCCGGACACGCCATAGGGTTGAGAGGCTTGTGTTGGACCAGGGATGTCGGTTCCAAAGGCATTGTAGTTTCCGTGGTATCCCCCCTGAAGACTTCCCTCCTCATGCGAAGATGTTCCGGACGCGCCATAGGTATGGGAGGCTTGTGTTGGGTCAGGTATGTCGGTTCCAAAGGCACTGTAGTTTCCGTGGTATCCCTCCTGAAGCCTTCCCTCCTCATGCGAAGATATTCCGGACACGCCATAGACATGGGAGGCTTGTGTTGGGCCAGGTGTCTCGCTTCCAAACCCTTGAGCAAATGTAGAGACGTCGGACAGCAAATCCATGGAATCACGATGAGCTCCGCTAGATACATAAAAACTGTCACTAGCTGATGCCAGGGGGGTCTGAGCGGCCACAGCAGGGTCTTCCGAATAATATCCGAGCACGCTCGGGTGTGAAGCGTCCGTGGACACACCCGGCAAGTCGTTGCCGGCTGGCGATGGGATCGGGAACGTGGAGTCACACAGTGAAGTCGTGGATGTGGGTATGATCGAAGTCTGACCAACGCACGCCTCATTCCCACCATTCGCTCCAAGAACCAGATCGTCCAGATCGTCCAAGCCTACATCAGGCTTCCCAGCATCCTGACCCTTTGGTGGATTTCCCATGGAAGATGCACTATAATCGAACAAGCCATATTTCCGTGCGTTCGTGTCCACGTCCTCAAAGTCGGCGTGATGAGAAGGTGATGCTTGCTCTATGGTGGTAGGAGCATATATGTTTTTCGATTCAATATTCTCCGAGCTGGTCACCGGCTCGGAACCTGTCCCTGGCGTAAAGATTGTAGCAGATTGTGAGATTCTGCCTGTTGAAACCAAGACATCTTCCACCATAGTCATCATAGATGCTTCATCCTCTTGGGCAAACGGATTCAACATCTTGGCGGAGAAAAATGCTGGTGTTTCCATGAAGGCACCTTCCGCGTTTTCAGTAACAGAAGGAATAATAGCCGGAGTCTCCACGGACACCTGATCCTTGAAGCTCTGACAAGAGTCCTCATGTCTGGCCGCCAAATGATTCTTTTCGTTAAGCAAAGGCTTACCCTGGACGCTAGCTGAATCAGTTGAATCAACACTTGAGGTGGAAACGATGGTAGATGGCTGGGTATGCCCGGGATGTGCAGGTGCGGGATGTGCTATCTTCGGCTCTTGATACTTCACTGTAGATGCAGGCGTGGCGACCCAAGTGTCGATAGAATGTACTGGTGTAGAGGATTGTGCGGAAGGAACGGCATTCAGCTGACCCGAAAAGTCATACTGAAGACCCGTGTTGGGATCCGTCCATGAATACTGGGAAAAGTCTGTTCCATTCTGCTGATTGGCAGATGTATCGCTCCCGCTATAGCCTGCATCGGCTGCAGCTGGCTGGCTGATTGAAGGTCCGCTAGGTGCTTTGTGCTTTGATTGCATTTGGTTGGTAACTGCAGTCGGAGGAGCTGAGGTAGGTGGCTGCGTCCAAGTTGTGGAGGCGCTAGAGACAACCGGCTTTATCGTCTTCGACAGGTCAGTCCCCTGGACCTTCACGGAGTTCGTCTTCTGCGTACTGGAAGCCAAGCGTTGGTCACTATTGATAGACTCCGATGCTGTCGCAGCTTTTGGCTTTCGGGCCAAGCTAATATCAAAAGCATCCAGCATTTTATTGCTACGACTTGAGCCCGGGCTTGTCACAGGTTCAGAACTGTTAAGGCCAAAGTCGTCAAAAAAGGAAGACCCGTTCACTGTCTCAACTTTGGGTGCGGACGACATTCGAGCTTGCGGAGGGATATATGTGGAAGAGGCAGTGATGGGAGCATGAGTACTTGATTTACGGACTGAGACCGACGAATTCGTCACTTGGAAAGGATCGGCACCACTTCCAAAGGCGTCTACAAAGGTTCTGTTACTCTATGTTCTACATATGCCGACAGTGCATGTCGGGTCCTTGAAACTATCGACACCATACGTACCAGCAGCGCTGCCAGAAAAGAGACTTGAAGCGTCACCTGCCAATTCGGGTTGAATTGTAACTGGGGGTTTAGTTGGTTGTGTACTGCTACGGGCCGAGAAGGATGTGCTAGGGTGAACAGACGTCGCAGAGGAAGAGGCTGGGATAGTCGAGCTGAATAAGTCGTTGGCTCCTCCAGCAGCTGCGGCACCTCCAAAGAATGGAATGGGTCCTTCTGAAACCGGATGCCCTCTCTGATGCTGGTGTCGGTGCATGGTTGCCGACCGATGAACCGAGAAAGCAAACCCTCAACTAGGGCAGCTGTTAAGAACAAGCACAAATGAAGTCGACCAAACGAGCCAATGCCAGTTGGGAAATCCCCCGTTCGTCCTTTTGATGATTGCTCCGTCGCGCGCTTTGTCTTGCAAAAACGACGTGGCCATGAGCAAAGTGCTGCTCGCATGTGGGGTGTGGCACGGTCACGTGTAGTAGATGACTGTGCCACGTCATCTGCCGGGAATGGACAACGTAAACACAAGAGCACCTTTCTTCCGCCATCTTTCCCCCATCCTGACCCCCAATCATCTCTGACCTGACCTACATCTCTTCTTTCCAATCAGCTATGGCGAATATAACGGAGGAATGGGTCAAAGCTTCCGACGGGGTTGAGATCTACCATAGAGTGTGGGAGGTACGAGGGTCTTTACCTGGTTGCTTGTGATCTCGTCGATAAATTGACTCTTTGACTTGCGAACCCAAATAGCCTACTCGACCGAAGCCACTTGCAACCGTGGTATTCGTTCACGGTACGCAGCTTGTTAGTATGTCGCGACACTTGCTGATTTTTAATGACCTTTTTTGGATGAGCAGGTGTTGGTGAACATATTTGCCGATACGACCACGTCTTCAAACCCTTTGCTGAAGCCGGTATCAAGGTCCGCTCGTTCGACCAGAGAGGCTTTGGGAAAACTGGAAGAAAGTCTGGAATCCTCGGACATAACGAAGGTTATGACAGGGTTTTGAAAGACGTGGATGAGGTTGCGGCAAAGGTCCGTGTCGCCGGCGTACCCCACTTCGTATTTGGTCATTCCATGGGTGGTGGGATTGCTCTTCGCTACGCTATAGATCATCAGAATGACGACATTAGTGGCCTCATTGCTTCTGGTAGTGAACATTCTCTGAATCGCCAACGACATTGACTGTGCGCTAACGGTGTTTGTTCAAAGCCCCGCTAGTGGGGCTTGGTGCAAAGACTGCAGTATCGACACCCGAATACTATGCGATTCGTGCCATGTCATACTTTTTTGGCACGGTGACAATTTCAAATCCTGTCGATCCTGCCAATCTTACTCGTGATCCGACCGTGAACAAGGCATATGTTGAAGATCCTTTGGTCCACCCTTATACAAGCCTTTCCACCGGTGAGTCCTATTCTATTCATAATGCACGCAAGGAGTAATATCTTACATAGATGAGAACCGGCAGCCCGAGACATAGTCTTAAATGGAGAAGCCTTGGCGGGCAGTTTGGCCGCACAGCTGACCCTTCCATTGCTCATTACATTTGGCACTGGCGATCACATCTGCTCATATGACGCTGCAAAGGCTTTTTGCGATGCCGCCGCAAGCAAAGATAAGACATTCAAGTCATACACTGATTTGTGTCACGAGCGTGAGTTAAGATCCAATGTGGTGCATCCCAGCTCCATTTGACTTTTAAGTTATTGTGTAGTGCACAACGAACCGGAGAAGGATGAAATTATCAAGTTTTACATCGACTGGATTTTGGAGAGAGCCAAGAAGGCGTAATGTCGTAGTCTTAGAAACTATCACTAATCATTTTGTTGCCTATACCAACTGCTTTAATATATGGATAATAACAGTGCTGACACATTGGCCCAAAATCCCGAAAATACTTATTAAAAGAAAATCACCCCGATCAAAAATGCTATGACCGCAATCGCTGCCAACATCTGGATTGACAATCCCTGCTGCACGTGAATCAGAGCGGGCGATGCGTTCTCTTTTGACCCTCCACCTGAATGCACCTCCGCTGACGCTCCTTCTTTTCGCCGCCGCAGAAGGTTCAATCGCTCAACTTCGGCCTTGTACCCTTCACAGGCTGCCTGCAAAGCTTTGACCTTCTCCCGCGCATCAGTAAGCTCCTTGTCTACCAGGTCCACAGTCTTGGCGTCATCTGCACGACTCAGATTGCCGGAACGCACAGCTGGGGGCGGTGTAGGGCGAACTTGGTCGCTACGTCCAATGCTCACAGGCTGTACAGAAGGGCTGGGCTCAGCTGCAGACGGAGGTGGTGATGGCAGCTGCGGCGGGGACTGGAGGGAGAGAGAAGAGCGTGGCGATGTGGTGTTCGCGTCTGTGAATTCTTGTTTGGTGCTCGGTTGTCGGGATACGCTAGTAGAGGTATTCGACATGGAAGACTCCTGCCGTCGATGTCCTTGCTCCTGATCTGCGGGCAGGAACACACACCTCAGCTTTCTCTCCACCAGAACATGACTGGCCGCTTCAGGGCTGCTCTTCTTGAGTTGCTCCGCTTGAAGCCATAACTCTTGAAGCCTGTTAGTAAACTGATCTCCCTCTGCAACCATGAGATCTGCGGGAATCTTTATGCCTTGAACAAGAAATTTGTCTTTGCTCTTTGCATCCGCCGGCGGATCCTCCTTCATTGCCTGCAAAAGGACTTGCACCTCTACCGAGGCGCCTGGAGGGATACGCCCACTGTTAGGTCTGACACAGTACTGCTTGGGAGCGGTAGTCTTCACTTTGAAAGCAACGGGAGACTCGGGGTGGATGTTGGATACTATAAGACTTTGCTTGACCACATGAGTGAATGGGCGTCGGAACTCCAGCTCCCTTTCAGGGGCCAGTTTGAGAAAATGGCTTTGAGATGAATCCATGGTTCTGCGTGGCCTACAGCGCGCGGCGTTAGCCAAAGATGAGACATGGGGTGTGCCGTTGGGCAAATGACCAAGTTCGACGTACCGGCAATCTGAGTAATGATCCGCAACAAAGGTGTCCCCCCAAGTTTGTCAAAATGACTCGCGGTTGGAGTCGGGATTAGGTCAGCCGACACCCCCTCGGTCCCTTTCCTCCTTCCTACGGCTTTGCACTTTGTTGCGTTGGTACTTTTGCAAAATGGCTAGAGCTGAAGATTACTCTACTAGGCACCGTCTGGCTCTTGTTGGTCGGTCCGGGTATCTCGTGGACTCCCGTTTGAGCTGACGCTAACTTTCGCGATCTAGCCTTGGGGATATTTTCAGCACTGACCACTGCTGGAGTTATCTTTGGGTTCCAAGCTCTTCGTCCGGCGCTCATTGATAGCCATGTGTATGAGGACCTATGCTCTCCCGCCGAGGACAAGCCGTGCAATGCACAAGTGCTTCGTCTCAACCTTATGTTTGCAAGTAAGTTGGGAAGGCAGGTGCCGCTCTCATGACCCGCGCTAATGAGAAGAAAAAAGTTGCTTCAACCGGTGCCAACCTTGCTTCACTGCCTATCGGAATGATTCTCGACAAATACGGACCCCGTGCAACGATGCTGTTAGGAAGCGGACTATTTTTGCTTGGGTCAATATTATTTGGGTGTAGCAACCCAAACTTTGACGGTTACATAATAGGATACTTACTTTTGGGCGTCGGCGGGCCTTTCTGTTTCATCGCGGTGAGGAATGTCGAATTTAAGCATCAACTTATAAGAAAGACTGAATACAGCCCGTAGAGCCTTCATATTAGCCTTACCTTTCCCTCGCGTCAGTATCCAGATGTATCTGCAACTTTGATTAGCGAGCAAGCTCTGATATCTGCTCGTAGATTCCGGAAAGATAATGGCTGCGCTCACAGGTGCTTTTGATGCTTCCAGCATCATCTATCTCATCTTTGCGGTCAGTCTTATTTGGATTGCTTATTTGCATAATCATTTTCTTAATTGGGCTTTCACGGTGGCAGGACCTTTACAAGGCCCTTGGTGGTTCCATACAAAGATATTTTGCAGCCTACAGGTAGAAATACGGCATCGTGCCGCTCTCGCAAAGCAACTAGCTTACATGTGCAACCAGCGTTGTTCCAATAGTGATTGTCATCGCTACCCTGCTGCTAATGCCAAAATCTTCATTCGGCAAGCATCAAGAAGAAGGTGGCGAAAGTGAGATCGAAACGGACGAAGGACAACCTTTATTGGCTCCGACTGTGGCAACCGAAAATGCCACAGAGCTTTTCTGGAAACAATTTAAAAGCCCGGAATTTTGGTCAGTTGAAATAGTCAGACTGCTGTAATACTTAGGCTGAATACTTGAAAAAAGCAACTAATTTATGGTCCTGATTAGGGGTATCACCTCCACAATATGTCTCTTTATGCTCAGATTAAATTTCTATATTTCGTCCATAAAGGAGCAGTTATTGGATTTGTCAAGAACTCCTGCCGATCTTGACGAGGGTAAGGATACGGCTTGTCTATCTTTGGGCGTATTACTCTTGGCTGATACTAGGTCGAACATGGAAGTTGATCGAATAGTATCCTACTTCAATGTGGCACTTCCCCTGGCTGGTTTGGTGTCTATTCCAGCCGTTGGACACCTCTTGGACAACTTCTCGTTCAAGATCAGCTTTGTGGTTCTATGGATATTCGGATTATCATTTGGGATTCTATCGTAAGAGCACGTCCGGCTTCTGCAGCCACTTTACCAGGCTAACGCACGTATGGCCCTACGACCGTCAACCAGCCTGGTTCCAAATGTACCTTTGCAGTACCTCTCAGGTGAGCTGCACACCATTTCCCGACGTCAGCGGAACTACGCTGCACCTGGATGCTAATCCTTTTATACTAGTCGCCATATTTGTGCTAAAGCGACCTCTACTGTACACGATTGGAAACGATTTTTGTGCCAAGACGTTCGCATCTAGTGGCTGTTGCGGATGTTGACTTGTTAGCTAATACCAATCGCTTTATAGGTTCGGTTTTGTTACGTTCGGACGGCTTTACGGTATCATGAATGTTCTCGCGGGACTCTTTTCGATGCTGCAGTACCTGTTCAATTATGTGGCTCTCGATTTGATGAACGGACATTTCTGGGCGGTCAATCTGTCCCTAACCGTCGTGACCGGCCTGCTTCTAATTTTCCCGATTTATCTTGGTTTGCGACAGCAGTCAGTCTAACTTTGTTAGTGGCGTAGATCGATCGAATTCCTATTCTCACTTCTAGTAGACTTAGTGGGAGGGCCGCTTCAGACCTGTAGTTTGGACGTAAGCTAAGAACACAGACGCCGGATGCGCCAGAACAGCATTATACTATTTACAAGACATAATCTAAGCTACTTCCGTTTTTTTGCGCTTCCCTTGCTATCGTCTCTCCCTTTTCTCTTCTTTTCGTCTTTCTCCTCCTCCACCTCCGCGGTCTCTTTCGATATGAGACTAACTAGAGTATTGCATCGCCGTTGAATTTCTTGCGCTGTGCGGGACTTGATGAACCAATCAAATCGGAATAGGGGTGACCGTTTCACCTCGTCCAAGATTTTATCGTAGACATCATCTGAACCATAGCCGAAGCGTTCCAACATGACGAGCTAGGAAAGATTTTAATCATGATTTGCGGGGTCCACTCAAGGCAGATAACGTCTTCCACCATGAACCTTACCAAAAAGCGGTCTTCCTCCTCTGTGAAGTTTTTGCCCTTGCTTTGCAAATACTGTATCTTCAGTTGCTGCAAGGGGGCACGGTGCTGCCTAACCTTTGCCGTCAAGGCATCCTGAATTTCCTGAGTCCTTTTCAATTTGGCTTCACCTTTTTCTATGTTCGCAATGATCTTCTCATAATCTGGATCATGGAATGAGTATTGTACGTCCATCCCGCCAAGAAGTACACTTGCTTCTGATGTGCACGTACCGGCAATTTCTCTGAAGCGCTTCCAGAACACAGCCGCGTACTGTTTCACCTCGGATGCGGTTTTCCCCTCCACTTCTTGCGCAATTGCCTCAAGATCATGTCTGAAAGATATTGACCTAGTTAGCGTAATTCATAGCCGGGTATACCTGAAGACCATGTCACCTTCCGTTCTTCTCGTTAGCCTTGCAAAATGCGATGAAGTCTCGCTTCGACCAATCGCCAAATCCCTGACCGCGACAGAAGCCATGTCAACGTCCGCAGAAGAAATTCTACGACAAATAGAAATTGCGTACTTTGGTCAACAGTTTCTCCTTTTCAGCAATTTCAGCTTCGGAGAGCGGCTCAGCTAGAGGGATAAGAGGGAATGTCAAATTCATAAAACCGCGCGGCTGACAGATTATTGCACCAAGTATTACCTTGATCAACCTTGGCTTGCTCTTCCTTCATTTTCTCCGCTGTATCTTCTTCATTTTCACCTTCTACATCCTCGGGCCTCACTTTATACCCAATCTCTTTCTGTTGGGGGGATAAGCACGGTAGGACAACGGTATAAGACAGCCTATGCCTGAACCTACGCGGAAAGCGAGGATTTCTCTTTCTTGCAAATCCTTCAGACGCGCCGGATAGAACTGGAAATCTTGGCTGCGGCATTTGGTTATTCTCCTTATTCTATCAAATAGCTCTGCACACTGCGCTTCCTTACATGTTTGCAATTCTTGGTGGCTTGGGAGCCTTCTCCTTTGCAGTTCGGCCTCCTGTTTGTAGCATAACCTTGTAATACTCCTGCTCGGAATACGATGCCAAAACTAGGAAAGAGTTTCCAGCTCACAACATGGCTAGAGCCGTTGATAAGGATAATCATGCTTACGGTTCTTTCGCTCGCGCTTAGCGGGTCCAATCCATCCAAAGCTACCGCCTTCCTTTTTCTGATAGACGGTCACAATTAACCTTTCCGACACGAGCCAGTTGTATTCTTCTGCTACTCACTCGGAAGTCTGCACCTTCCCATTCGTAGACACTCCCGCCACCCGCTAAGCTGAATTTTTGCAGATCATCAAGACCCATGTTGGCATATTTTGAGTCCAGCTCTGCAGTCTTCTGTTCGGATCGCTTGAGAACCTCTTCAATATTATCTCCTGTAATCGTACTTGAATCCGCCCGAGTTAGTGACTCAGTCTCCCAAGTTCCTCAGATCGTTGACAAATACCTGTCCGTCGACTTGAAAATATCCTGTGCTCCATGTTGAATCATCGAGACAAGGTCATCCTTGGATGCCGCTACAGTACAAATGTCAATGAGCTGATGCCTCTACAGCAATTGCTGGCTTCCGTTATACCTTTACTATTTTGCACGGATCTGCCTTGTTGAATGACGAGCTGGTCAAGACGAAGCTTTTGTGTTGCACGATCGATGACTTTTTCTTCAACTGCATTCTGGAGAGTCACCAGGATGAGTCTGCCACATGTGTGTCGGACTTTCATAGCACAACTCCCAAGCCTGTCCTACCTCGGTGATAAATCGGAAAACAACGACTTGCTTTTTCTGCCCGATACGATGTGCGCGATCCTCAGCTTGAAGGTCAACTTGCGGATTCCAGTCGCTATCGTACATGATGACAGTGTCCGCGGTAGCCAAGTTGATGCCGAGACCGCCCGCCCGTGTAGTCAATAAGAATATAAATTTGGAACTGTCGGGTTTGTTGTATTCATCGATACTGGCAACCCGATCCTCATGCGGAGTCTGTCCATCTATTCGGCAGTATTGATATCCACGAAAGATGCAATAATCCTCCAGAATATCTAGCATTCTGCTCATCTGACTAAACAAGAGCACGCGCGACCCTTGAGCTTTTGAGCGCTCCAACAGCTTGTCTAAAACTACCATCTTTCCTGCATTTTCAATGATATGCTCGTCAGTTGTATAAGGTGGTCCTGGCTCTGCACCATCGAAGAGGTACGGATGGTTACAACATTTACGCAGTTGCATCACAATGTTTTGCAACCTTGTAAGCCGAGTTTTACTCTGCTTGTCGCCGAGAGCATCATTTACTGCGTCAATGTCCTTTTCAAGCAGGTTCCGATACCATCTTCGCTGCATCGCGCTCATCCCAACATAGATATTGACCCTCTTTTTTGGTAAGAGCGATTTCTCAACATCTGCTTTGATACGCCTGAGTAAAAACGGTCGGAGGACCTTGTGGAGCTGGGAGACGACCTTATCCTGGTCTCCTCCTTGAGACTCAAACCATCGGTCAAAATCTTCTGACGAACTGAAAATGTCTGGAAGAAGGAAATTCAAGAGTGCCCATAGCTCGTGCAAGTTGTTCTGGAGAGGGGTTCCCGTTAACAACAGGCGATTACGACACTGAAACTCTCGCACGATTTGAGACAGGGCCGAGTTTTCATTCTTGATTCTATGTGCCTCGTCAATGACAATGTACTGCCAAGACAATTTCCGGAAATGTGCCTTCTCCAAGAGGCACATCTCGTAAGATGTCACGCAAACTTCAAAGTCTTGGGCTAGCAACTTGTCTTGCACTACTGCTTGTCGTTCCGGCTTACTCCCATGGAACATAAAAACATCTAATGAGGGCACCCATCGCTTGAATTCGTTCACCCAGTTGTGTAAAGTAGACTTTGGAACTATAACCAGATGAGGTCCATCGATCGACTGGAAATGCTTAAGGTAACCCAAAAATGATATGGATTGAAGCGTTTTCCCAAGACCCATCTCATCTGCAAGAATTCCGTTGATTCCATTTTCAAAGAGTGAGATCAACCAGTTCAAGCCTTGAACCTGGTAGTCTCTCATTGGAGCGTGCTTGACATACGGTGGAGATTCATCGAAGACAAACGGAGCTGGCTCCTCCTCCTGCTCGTCCTTTAAAAGTTCTTCATCTTCTTCCTTCTCAGTTTTGCGATGACGTCGTGATCCGATCTTGGAGCTTTTCTTTGCCTTCTCAGCGTCCGCTGCTTCCTCCAACGCCGTGACATCCATACCTTTCATCTTATTTATGTTGATGAAATGTGCGAAAAGCTCTGTCTGACCCATAAGATAGGCATATCGCTTTTGCTGGTCCTTTGCTTTCTTTCGCTGCAGTTCCTCAGAATCTCTGGCAAACCCTGCCTTTCGTTTGGCATTCAAGGCGCGGTCGACCGGGCGTTTTACATGTCTAGCCTCTTGTGTGCTCTTCTCACTTTCCGTCTGCAGGTCATCGTCGACATCCATACCGTCGCTAACGGTCCCATTATTCTCCTCTGCGCTTACAGCCTCCGCTTGTTCAGGATTGTCTATCGATGACATGGCTGCAGTTTCGACATTGGAGATCAGCGAGGTTCTGCTTCTAAGAAGTCACGTGAGGTCCACTCTATCCCGAGTGATATGTCCGACTTCGAATCAAGCTCAAAATCCGCGCAGGAAAAAGAACTCTAAAAAAGTTACAGCGGCTGCAAATACATAGTAGAAAGAAGGATGTATTCTAATGACAAAGTGTCAATGTAAACAGTTTAATTGGCGAATTCATCATATAAAAAGTACGAAGGATGATCGCCAGTAAAGTCCTCCCTCAGCAGCATATATTCTATCACAAAAATCTAGTGTCCAGGTTCAACGAGTTCCGTGTTGGTATAGACGACGGGACTCTTCTTGAATCCATTGAACTGGGACGCAGCGCACATGGTGTATGCGCCCATATTGTCGAAATGCAGCCAGTCGCCGACCTGCATCTCAGGAAGGGAAAAGCCCTTGCCAATACAATCGATGGAGTCACAAGTGGGGCCCCACACGCTACAAGGGAATTCGGCCTCTTGAATCGCGTGCTTGTACATAAAAGCACCCGAACGCGCGAGTACATTCGGAGTAACCACAGCATGATCAAAAGTGATGCAGTTGAAGCTTCCGTACATTCCATCATTGATGTAGTACATGTAAGAAGGATGATCATCGCGGGTGGCAACGGCGCTCGCCTCACTCTCGTCGATAGCACTGCTTTTCCGATCCCGGGGAACCACGCGGCGCGCAATGACATTGACCGCCAAGGTGAAAGCCGAAGAAACATAGTAGCGACCCGGCTCCGCGATAACGCGTACCTCGGGACCAAAATGTTGGTCAATGGCCGGTCCGAGCACAGCCGCAATCTGCTGAAAGCTGACACCGGGAGCGTTGTTGCCAGGGAAGCCACCTCCAACATCGAGAAGGTGGAAGTCGTAACCCCACGCTTTTCCCTCATCGAAAGCCTTGCGAGCGAGCATAACAGCTTCGCCAAAAGCACTAGCATCAAAGCATCCACTTCCAACGTGGAAACTGATGCCGATGACATCCATGTCGAGCTCACGAGCTGCTTTGAGAAGATGGGGCACAGCTGCCATGGGCGCTCCAAACTTAACGCCAAGTTTGCAGATCGATCTCGAGTCATCCGTCAGGATACGAAGAATCATCTGGGCGTTTGGGTGAATAGCCTTCACCTTCCGTAGTTCGTCAGCATTATCGAAAGTCATCATCCTGACTCCAGTAGCAGCGGCAAAGCGAATGTGGGACGCTTGCTTGCAAGGGTTGGCGTATATAATCTTGGAGGGGTGCACGCCCTGGTCCAACGCCATCTGGATCTCACCCTTGCTCGCACAATCAAAGCCGGTTCCGAGTGAAGTAAGGGTCTTCAATACCATGGTATCGGGGTTACACTTCACGGCTGTCAATGTAGAGAGAACTAGTGAGCGAGGTACAATACGGCACATCGCAATGATGCAGAATGCCTACCATAAAAGGGCTCGACACGAGGAAGGAGCTGCTTCCACTGTGCATGCTGGCGGGCTACTTCTCCAAGATCACCAACGAAAAAAGAGTCTTGCGCTTCGGGATTCGTCACATCGTAGTCAACTGTGCGGCTACGCAAAATTGATCCAACGGACCGCGAACTCACGTTCGCGGGCTCCGCCGTGGCCATCCCAGAGGACAAGCCATGGTGGAGCTTTGTAAGAGACTGCTTACGCGAGAGAGCACCGAAAAATTCAGTATCGGGGTTGATGAAAGGTACGATAACCTCCTTCATCGGACCGGACGTAATAAAAGCGCGACGCGTTGGAAGAGAGGAGGAAAGGACGGTGAGAGGGCACGGGCCCGGATTAGCGAGTGACTAGTGAAGTAAAGTTTGGAAAAATGGAGTTTCAGGCGCCTTCTGCACCTGCCCAAGGGGGTTCTAAAGAAAACGCCGAGAGTTGGTTGGTCTGCACGAAATACTCAAGAAACATATTGAACAAAAACAAACCTGGAAGAATCCCCGGAAGGAGACGAATGTTAAGTCGACTTGGGAAGTACGTGGTTGCAGGTGCACTTCTGGGGTAACCCGAAGTGCAAAGTTACAAGATGAGGGCGAATACCCTGATGATTTGAGACCGAAGAGCACAAAGCCTTCGGCTTAACCGTTAAAAGATTGCGCGAAACAAGAAGCGAGTGGAAGAATCCGTTTTGTTTGAACGGAATCCTAAAAAGTAGGCAAAAGATGTTGGGTAGAAAATGTTGGGGGGACTACAGTTGGGGGGGCCCCTTTTATAGTCGAGGTTAAGCACGAACGAAGTGTGAAAAAAAGACGCGCCGATTGATTCCATAATGCATTTTGGCCAGTTTGCGAATCCCGTTTGTTTTCTTGGGGACAATACGAAAACAAAGACGCTTTTCGCCAAGATCCCCCCCAAAAATAAAAAACCTCGCCTTGGCCTCTCCCCAAAAATAAACCTCCGCCTTGGCGAATGGTTACTTTTTTTTATGGTTGGGGGGGGGGCTCTTGTTGTGGTATATCGGGGCTGATGATGGATGAAAGACATCCCAACCAGCCAATGACGACGCTAGTCCAGAACAATCGCTGGAAGCATTTATGGCTGTTCTTTGTGATGATTTGGTTATTCCCCCCCCCCCCCCCAAAAAAAAAAAAAAGAATCAGAACAAAACGATCCAACGTTCCAAACTGCGGGAATCGACCAAGGGTAGTTCAACTGCCTTTCAGTCTCAAGACTCGTTGAATTTGGTAACATTTGCAGATCTGACGTCGACTTTTCTTCCCGTCATGGTTCAGTATCTCGCACAATATTTTGAATGAAGTATATAAAAGCTAATTGTGGCATATGTCATCTTCGTGTGCCGCTGCACCGCTCTTCAATGGCGACTTTTTCTGGTCCGTTTTGTAAACATGACATCCAGAATCCAGTGGATACTGGACATAATGCTCAACAACTCTACAACCGTAGCGGTTGTAGGGAAGGTTGCTCCCAAAAACTTCCTCTGATGATTCGCTTAGGCACACATTGCGAGATATCTACGAAAATCACTGGCACACTCTGGCAAAAAGAGGCTCGCAATGTTGCCCCTTTAAGGCCAGCAGAGGCAGCGATAACAAAAGGCGTCCATGTTTTGACAGCCACACTAATGCAAACCTGTCTCCGCACACCCGGCACCGACTATGACGTCAACAGCTACAGGCTCATCAGTGGTTTGAGTTCTGAGCAAGTCGATCAATGACCGACAAGTATTAATTAGTGTACTATTTAACAACGATCATTGATGAACTACGGCCAATATATCAATTCCCAGTAAACTAATCAGTGACCGCTTGGGACTCTGTTTCCTCCTCGCCAACATTGTCTTCCATTGCTTTCAACAATTGACGATAACCGCGGCTATGCGTGAAGACGTCAAGCACTTCAGCGCTGCAATTCAAAAATCAACACGTCAAGGCTGGGGCAACACTCACCAATTGGTGCCTAACATGAGAGCCCTCCAAGTTCCAAGTAGAGTGCGTCCTTCTTCGTCCTTCAAAAGATCACGTAAAATGTTCAAGTCCATGAGCATGCTGGCGAGCAGAATCGCCCACTGTCTACAACCGGATTTCAGGGTGGCTTGGAGTAATACCCTGGTTATAAAACCGTGTTGTGAGTCGGGTACCAGATTGACAGCCGACATAGTCAGTTACATACCAAATTTCAGAGACTTCGGGTTTTGAAAGTCCACCTGGATGAATGCCCGACATTCCGCTCTTCGTGGGAGAGAAAGTCGTCTTAGCTCTCCTGCGCAGCATCTGTGTTGAGGCGCTCAGAGCCGGATCGCTGTCGTCCCGCGACTGTAAACGTCCGGCTTCAGTAGCACCCCCGTCAAGTGCTCGTGCAAATGTGCCATCCGCGTAGGCATACGTTTTCCGACGAATAGTAGTCTGCGGATCGGAACTGGCTTTGACGATTGCCTGAATCTGTTTCATGTCATCTATCGATAAACGAAATACTTATGAGGATTGCTACCGAACATCTCAGGCTACTTGATCAACCTACTTGGCCAAGGCCATTGAAATTGCTCATGTATTGAAGCAAAAGCCATTGGCATATCGTCTATCAAAGCAGCTCGATTCCTAATGAGCAATGGCACTCTGGTAAGCAACTGCCCGCAAAGCAACATTATCTCAACAAGGAGTCCACGTACCGTTCCTTTTCCAACCATACCTCCATCGAGAAATCTAGGGCTACGGCAAATCGACCGAAGGCTCTCAGTCGATACTTCCTCAACAGTTGCCGCGCGTGCTTGCTAATAAGGATCTCCAGATAGAACTAGCAAGCATTGCGTCAGCAGACAGTAATTCACACGAGATACAAATAACCTACGGAGTCGCTCATTCTCGCTTCATCTGTGGCGCTATGTAAGACGCCTCGAAAGATAAGCGTCCTAGGTCGAGGTAGCTGGTATAAACAAGTCCTTACTTGGATTTTTGCGTTTGATCGGTAGTCTTTGACTGGCTGTTATCGAAAGCCGCAAAATTGCTATTTGATCGAATAATATCTCGATAAATCTCTCCTTCCGCTCCTAATTATTATTACCACAGCATTATTAACGGCCGCTATGTCGACGAGACGCTAAATATCTATACCGTCGATGGACGTTAAAAATCGCACAAGCTCCTTGCCCGTCTGCCAAGAATGATATTAAGCAACAGTGATGGCAAAAGACAACCCACTACAGTCTCGTCGCACCTCAAAGTCCTCTAATTCAAACGCTCGCTCTAACAGGTCCACTGCCAGCTAACGGAAGCCCGTTTCCAGCGGGTTAGCATATCTCACATTTCAATGAACTACGTAGAGGAGTCCAATTGAATAGAGTACCTTCCCACTGACTGTCGCGGGTTCCAAAGTTTGGATTATGATTAAATAAGATGTCGCCGTTTTCAGAAAACCGTTCTCAAGAGATTTCTATTCGAATCCGCATATATCATTAGCAAGTCGTTTAGCATGCACTTCACTTCTCGTTGCAACCTTAAATAGTTCCTTAGGGTCCCCTGCAATCGAAAAAAAATACTCCCATAGTGCAACTTCCGTCTTCCGTGCGCACTGGACAATTATATCCAAGTAATCAGGAAAATGCTCCAAGAAACGAATCACGCGAGGTAGAATGGCATCTAGAACAACAGTTGAGCAAAGCAATCCAATGAGAGGGAATTTGGCTGGCGATTGAACCAATGTTACCTGGAGAAAAGCCAGCATATGTTTCGGCTTCAATTTCCAAGACTTGATGCAAAAGTACCTCCAACGCGTGATCAAAATACGCCAAGTGTCGATAATAGTCCGCAAATGTGATTGCCTCTTTTTCTGACCTTTACACAGCAGAATGACGATATCAGGAATGGGGCGAGTATTTAAATTGAGAGGTGGATGTGAAACTCACCCTTGGCTCAGCATGTAGCGGATCATTGTGTGCAAAAATAGATGCGTCTACAACGACAGTCAGACCCAAGTAAGGAGCAGGTGTTCACGTGTGAAAACTCACCCTAAGGTCAAGCCTGTATAGAGTGCAATTCATCGCTGTTCTTACTGTCATGCGCTGATTGACACCGGCTATTATTCCCCGGTGCATCATTATGGCTACCCGCTGCATGTAAGTGAAAAGAGCCAGCACATCATGCAAAACACTCAGTGTCGCTTACTGAGGGGGTAAAAGTCCACATGGAGTTGTAGGGATTCGGTGAGGTTTTCTTTCGGCACCAGGGCGGATGTTTCATCACTCGTGAGATTTAGGTTAACCCAGATCTGGCGGAATGGCCACATCAGCTTTTAGCATTCTATCGCACAATACATGAACGAAATCGTAGGACCTTGAAACCGGAGGCATCATATGCCCAGAGGGAATTCACCAAGTCACCAACGCGATCTTGATGCCTGGACACCCAGAAGAACTCGATCTTGTCTGAGAGCCCAATCATTTCCCATCCACCATCCCACTAGGACCAAATACGTAAGCCAAAATGCATTAGATGGTATATAGTTCATTAGCTCACCAATTCGCGCAGAATGCTGAGCTCTCCGCAGCTCAAAATGACCACCGGTGCATGTATGATATCCTCAACCGTCCCTTCACCTAGCGCAATATTGAGGGATTCGCAATCAATGAATACATGGGATCAACTTACCAGCCGGTGAATACCACGAAATGCTTTGGACTGAGGACGGATTCATTATAACTCCTTCCAGGGATATTTGCTGTTGAAGGGCCAACCTTACACGTTCAGCTGTGGAAAATACCGAACGAAGAGCGATTAGACCGGACTATATCGATCCAGTTAGATTCCACGACCCCTCAAATAGTGCCGTACATTCTGTTGTGATTGAGTAAAATCGCATCACATTATCGGCAGCATATATAAGCAAATTCGCATCTAGACAGTTCATGGCTACAATGCACCGCGGCAACCGCTCAGTGTGGAGTGCAAGTGTAGAGGACAAGTTGGTTTCACGGGAGAAGAAGCGCAGCTGTTCCAGCATTCAGTAGCGGCTCAAGAATAAACGGCCACCGCACCGTACCTCATGATTCTGCGTGTCAAGATCTTGACATGCTACAATGAGAATATCTCGATACCAGAGCATTCCCCCGGTGACCGTGAAACTTTGCTCCTGAAAAACAAGTCCGCATTTTATTAATATTCGTAATTAGCAATTGAAAAATAATTAAAAGCACCTGCTGCTCATTTCCAAACAGCTTCCATCGATTGGAAACCGCGCTGTAATGTGCCAAACCTTTGGTTCCTGCGATGGCCACGTAGTGTCCAGTAGAGTTGATTGATGTATGCTAGAACGGCTACAGGTGTCAAGTGTGCATCTCTGCAATACTATCATTATCAATAGATCCATCACACCTTAATTGGCCAATTTTGAGTGATATACATTGTCGGTATCTTACCGCAAGATCGGAAGAGCGGTTAAGTCAAATGAATGTGGTTAAGGATCATCAACGTACGAACCTGTATTGTGTCCCACTGCGGCATATCCAGATTCATAACATCAAAGTCCCAGTAATTGCCCTCGTATAGCAGAAGTTTATCATCCTGGACAAGGATTATACATCGACTGTTGTCCTATATAACGAAAACAGTTCAGTCACAGTAAAGTGTAGAGGAAGACCAAGATGCCATATCACCTGAATATTGGAACAAGCGAGGGCAGACTTTGCAAACTGCAAGACCGATATCTCTGTGATGGGATCTTCAAAAGGAAGGTGGGTTATGTTTGCTGGTGTGTGCAGACCTCAGCAAAAAGCACCCGTACCATGGCTGAAGATCTCAACAGGAAGAACATGGAGCTCATAGCTTCCGATCCCCCAAAACTGGAAAGAGTATGTCTTCAGTTCACAGTCCAATCCAATGGTTCGCGCATCCATACCAGATCTCTAACGCCTGAGAAATACTGCTCCATTGATGCATCACTACTATCCTCTCTAGAGGGACCCCGAATAACATCAAAACCCATTTTTAACCGACATGTCTGGCACACCACTTACACTTGCTGAGCAAGAACATCCTCTGAGACCGTGCACATCAACAGGTGTCCAAAGGTACTCCACACTGACAAGCCACCAATGATCCACCCAACTGCTAATGCATAACCATCTCGTGACCAGTGCAATGCACTCACTGCACCCAATTGAACTGATCCGTAACCTATCAGGGCGTCACATCAGTATCCACAGCTTGGACCTTTCCATGTCCTTGCGAGCCTCTTGGGATTTCTGTAAATCCCTTTAGAGTCACTTACCGCCTCCAGCCGATTCTACAGTGCATTTATGGGAAAAGCGTAGCTCGGATCGGTCTTCCGTCAGAGAAAAGACATGCACTTCACCACTGCATGGCATTAAGACAGTTCGTTATCTTTCAGTTTATTATTCTGCCTGCCCATCTATAGCTTACGTGGTTGTTCCAACTGCAACCAGATGGAACAGAGAGTTGATCGCAACGTATGTAGACCTTGCATCATTTTCTTCTCCACCGTAGAAGCGTAGGCCGGACCAAGTTGACATTACACCTTTACTTCCCTTAGAAACAAGGCATTAGAATTCACTGTAAGGTATCATTCTGGCGTTGTGTCTCACGTACAGGTGTGTTGCGGACACCTTTTCCCCGCTGAGCCAAGTACGCGTTGCCCGTTACTGTTACCCATGCAAAGAGATCCATTGATGCATTGGCTACTATTTGCGCCAAACCTATATAGATGAAAAGTCGACAAAATATTCCTCGAGTTAATTACAGGTTGCATCTGGAAATACGCCAATCTTACCGTCTCCTCCATCTTCATAGAAGTCCAAGTCCAGTAATGAAACAGTTCCCGCCAGATTCACTTCGCCATTCCACGAGAGAGAAAGTAAGGAGGGCGATCGTTGAGTACAGAGGATCAGCTCGTTTTTCAACCCTATCCCACTGAAATATCCAACCAACGGCAAGATCCATTTAATTCTCGGGTATCTTCAATAGACTAGCCATTGAACATCTACCGGCAACTGTAATATCTCGTACCATTGAACTCCGGTATCAATATCTAATGCCATTTTGAAGCGTAGCGCTTTGCTTGGAATTCCGCGTCCCTCCCCCGGGCCGGTGAGATAATGGTGTGGCACAGAGAACTGGAACTCGTACAATTTGCTATTGATACCGTGGACGTCGTAGAAATGCAAGAATCCTTTATTTGTCTGAGGTTCGCATGTAATGTAACAAGTATAATCCAGATGATATATTACTAGGCAAGTCCCAAGTTCACGTCTACCAACAAGCTCAATCTCAAAAATGCGTACCACGACAACAAGCGCCGTCCCGTCTGGCTTCCAAATCAAGTCCACATTCTCGCCATCTTCTAGAACCGTAGCGTCCGAGCGTTTCACCAGCGAGAGAAGTACGGCGGGCTGCAGATAAGATATGTCAATGGGCCGAACAAAGTATCATAAAGATAGTGGGTCGTAGAATCCAATATCCGCCGTGGCAAACGCGCTCTTTTGCCACCCGTGCTCGACCTTCAAGGATAAATAGTGCTTATTGCAGAACATACTCTAGTGGACCACAAGTAAATTGTATCGCGGGAAATAGCAGCGAAAAGCCCGGTGTCATGGCAGGCTTTCAGGCAAACTAGTGACTGGGTGCGAGAAGGGTGATCACTGGGTTCACTGGCACTTTCATCGTAGCTGGTAGATGGAATGCTAAGGATCTTCGCGCCGGAGGTTGCGAAGAACATTGGAGAGATCTCGTTGCACTGTCCATTAGGGAAAACGATAAGACGTGGGACCCAAATGTGGACAAATTACGCTTACGAAATACACATGACATCTGCAAACGAAGTAGAGCAATATTCATGCGATGAATCGCGTCTTTCATTGTACTATCTACATGATATAGACTAATTTGGATTTCCATTCGGAGGAGGAGGGGGAGGAACCGCGTGATATTCAGAGTCAGGAGGAGGGGGTGGAGGTGGTGCATTGTCACCGGGTGATGTAGCTGGTGGTGGCGGAGGAGGTGGTGCTGCCATCGCGGCCGTTGCATACGGATCAGCGTAACCGTAATAAGCACCATACTGTGCGTATTGGTCATATCCGCTATACTGGGCATATTGTGCGTCTCCCCACTGACCTCCAGTGTGGCCATATGGCGCCGGATAGGCCTGGGCACCCGGATATGAAGGGTACGCAGGACGAGGAGGCTGTGGTGGAGGTCTAAATGCTGCACGTTGTTGCTTACTACGCTCGTATTCCGTCTTCACTGTTTCAATCAAATTCTCACAAAGACGTTTCGCCGCGTCGACAGATTCCTGTGCATGACCTCTGGGCATTAAAGTAGGACATTAGAGAGCGGAATTAGAGAGCGGAATATTTGCTGTAGACCCTTACGTCACATGAATATGTAGAGGTTCTGGTGCCTCCTGGCCCGATAGCTGTTCGATGTACCCCGACCCGCGGCCTTTCAGCTGAACCTTTGTGGAAGTTTCCTGCTGTATATGCTTGACATACTGCCCGCCAGGACCGACCAGCTTTGCCCGAACATTGAACATTCTGTCAGGTTCAATCCCCACAAATACTTTTGCCGAAAACAGCTGTCTAGCAGCACCCTATGGTACAAAGGAAAAGCATGAGATGCCACCGTTCTGTTCGTCGATAAGGAGAACGATTGGCAAAACTCACTCCCGGACCGTGTCCGCTAGGCCTTCGCTCTTCGGGAAAGGCAGGTGGAGCTTGATTGATGAGCTCATCGATAGCAGCCAGTGCCGCATCCAAAGCCTCTTGTGTAGCCGCTGAGACGTGCAGATAGAGAGGCTGCGAAATGTTATTCTAACTATTCATGACTGACTCGCTCGATCTTGACTTACCGGATCTCTTTCCGTTGCCAAATTCTTATCAGGATAATATTTTCCACGAGTAATGACACTGTCATTTGAAGAGTAACATTGTAAGCTGCTGAAGGCGTCGTCCACACAACCGCAACAATACATACTCCGCCCCAGTATCTTGCTTAATCTTCAACTGGGTTGCCCCTTTTGTGAGGAGATATCGGTTCTTGATGTCGTTAATTGGGACATCTTTCATGAACTCCTCTTTCTGGAGATGCAGACAATCAGGATTTAATCATATATATTACCACAAGTTGCGTCCAACAAAACTCACCACGCCAAGTTTTGCGCTCAGAGAGGGTAGATCAAGGGGCGGCACGGATCCTTTGCCACTAGTTTGCGCAGCGAGCTGGGAAAGGATCCGCGAAGCTGCAGCAGTTGCCTTCTCCAATGCCTGTTGTGCAGCTGTTTCACTGTCAATGGTCTGGTCGGGCGGGGTAACACTGCTTGGAGTTTGCTGCGATGGCGAAGATACTTTGACCCGCTGAGGTTCCGGCTCTCCAGCCTCGGATACATCCCATTTGCGCTTTTTCTGCGTTCTAAACGGCCAGAGACAGGGTGCATAAGAAAGAACCCATCATTCTGCTCCCAAAAGGACACTTACGTTTTGGTTGAGTCGGTTGTCATCTCCCCCATGTATCTTTAACAAAATCCAACTTGTTTCGGTCCCTGTCCCAAAACCAATGCACCAATGTTGACCAGTTTCTGTGCCATTACAGTATGTCATGTGACATTATGAATTCTGCCCGTTGTTTCTTTCCTTCTGCGCTGTTTCTTTTGCATTCCCTTTTTTGTCGTTTTGCACGTGCAGCTCCGGTTGGTTCTTGCCACGAGCGATAATGCAAGAAAAGGGCCATTTGTTGAGGTTATAAAAGGAGCACCGGAGGGTAAAAGCCCCGTTTCTTGTTCTGTGAACATTCGCAACTTCCATCATGAAATTCGGTCTTCAACTCGCAAACTCCCTCTATCAAGAGTGGAGGTTCTATTACATGTAAGTCGCGACGCGTGGGAGCAGTTTGACACCACGGTTTATTTTTCGTTCTGCTTTTAGCGACTACGATGAGCTCAAGCGTCAGTTGAAGACTGGACTTAAAAATGATGGTTTTAATGAGCAAAAGGAGGCCGCGTTCGTTGAGACTTTAGAGCGTGAGTTGGAAAAGGTTAGTGGCTGAGCCAGGTTACTCTGTATAGCCAGTGGACCGTTAAATTGTTTTGCAAACTTCTAGGTCGCAGCGTTTCGAAACATTAAAGGGGATGAACTTACCCGTCGCGTTCAGCATTGCGAAGCTGTAGTTGACTCCATCTTGGCGTCGTCAGAGGATGCCGACGAAGCGCGGTTCAATCGCGTGGAGGAGGAGATCAGCAGGATTACGATGGAGGTCACCGAACTCTCAAAGTTCATTCGGCTCAATTATTCCGGTTTTCTAAAGATCTTGAAGAAACACGACAAACACACTTCATTCATGCTGAAACCTACGTTCATGATCCGCATGAACGCCCGTCCATTCTACAAGCAAAGTTTTGATAGTCTGATCCTTAGGCTCTCCAAGCTTTTTGACACTATTCGTACTGGAGGACAGCGAAGCCAAGAAAACGCCAATGCAGGCGGAAGTCAGCAAAATTTTGTTCGACGGACGACAAAGTACTGGGTTCATCCAGGTGGGTTGATACAGCTGAAATTTTTCCATAGACGCTTGCTCTAATGACCGTATTAATTGCAGACAATGTGACGGAAGTCAAGTGCATCATTCTGAAGTATCTTCCCGTCCTCGTATTTAGCGCCAAAGGCAAAAAGGAACCAGACCCGGCGATTTCCTCCATTTACTTTGATAACGACTCTTTTGACCTTTATCTTGGACGGCTTGAAAAGACGGAAGGGGCCGAAGCTATCCGCCTCCGGTGGTATGGAAACATGGATCAAACTGAAATATTTGTAGAGAGGAAAACGCATCGGGAGGATTGGACTGGAGAGCAGAGTGTTAAATCACGATTTCCAATCAAGGAGAAATATGTGAATGCTTACTTGAAAGGAGATTTCGATTATTCCAAAATCATTCAAAAATTGAGGGACAAGAAAGCAAAAGGCGAGAAAGAACTGGAACATTTAGAGACACTTGCCCGCGAAGTCCAGGAAAGTGTCCTGAAGAAGCAGCTTCACCCAGTAGTGCGAACGTTTTATAATCGCACCGCGTTCCAACTCCCGGGTGATGCTCGAGTGAGAATCAGCCTCGACACAGAACTGACCATGATTCGAGAAGATAATGAAGACCGCCCGAGATCTGGCGATAACTGGCGACGCGTAGACGCCGGAACAACTGCTCCGTTTGATTATCTTCCGAGTGAGGATGTGTGTCCTTTTCCGTATGCAATCCTCGAGGTGAAGCTGCAAACGCAGCATGGTGCCGAAGTTCCCAAATGGGTAGATGAGCTCGTGAATAGTCACTTGGTACGTCATCTGTGTAAAATTGTGGCTATACATTTAATCCAATGCGCTACATTATAGGTGGAAGAGGTGCCAAAGTTCTCCAAGTTCATACACGGTGTTGCAACGCTTCTGGAGAACCGGGTTTCGCTCCTCCCCTTCTGGCTTCCGCAGATGGACAAAGACATTCGGAAGCCTGTTCCAGCGGACTGGCGGTCCTTAGAATGGTCCTCAACGGGATTGCCATCGTCGAGGGAGAGTTCGATGGAACGTGGGCGGACGAATGGCCATCTACGAAGGACAAAGTCTAACCTGCGGAACGAGTCGGACGCTGACTCAGTGGAGGTTATTGTGGAACATCCCTCGGAGGATGTGGAGGATTCGGATGAGAGAACCCCTTTGTTGGGGATAGGGGGTGGTCAAAACGGATCATCATCGTTCAATCGCGGCACTCATCGACAGCGCCCATTCTCTTGGGCGGGTGGCTTTGGTAACCTGTTTAAGCGGGACTCACCCCAAAGCAGAGGCGCGTCGACCACCACTCCACAAAAGCGCATCGCCTTACCCGTCCGTGTTGAGCCGAAGGTCTTCTTTGCAAATGAGCGGACATTCCTGTCATGGTTGCATTGTAAGTATCTGAATTGTTTGACCCAGTTGTCACTAGGCGATTAATCACTCCTCTACTACAGTCTGTATCGTTCTCGGAGGGTTGGCACTCGGTTTGCTCAACTTTGGCGATCGTGTTGGCCAAATATCTGGTTTGATCTTCACCCTCGTTGCCATGATGTTCATGGTGTATTCTTTGTTTTTGTACCAATGGAGAGCGCACAAGATTCGAAACCGAGGTGGGTTGGTTTTAGGTTTAGGTATGCTTGACCTGTTCTAATCTCGGCACCATCCAGATGCCGGCCCATACGACGATCGCGTTGGGCCTACAGTGTTGGTGATTGTCCTTTTTTTTGCCATAATGATAAACTTCTGGTTGAAGTTCTCCAGCGTATAATCATTGAACATACATTCTGCGACACAATAATATATATATATGCACATTCATTCTTGTCGAGGACAATTAAGTGAACAATCCTTACCTAAGCACCCGATCATATCAGTTGACCCAACTGGACTGTCATATGTAATATTCGCCTGCCTATAAAAAGGCTGCCCCGCTGTCCGCCCTCTCCCTTCTCTTTCCTTTTATTCGTGCCTGAAAGCAGCATCTCGACTTTTGATCTCTGGTGCCAAGCAAGGACCGCCACTTCCCGATCCCAAACTCAACATACAGCCGCTGTAAACGCCCTCGCCACTGCAAAGCAACCGGTCTCTCCCAAATGATACAAGAATGCTGCAAGCTGTTGGTTTTAAACAGCTCGGAATGGCTTCAACCGCCAGAGTTTCGTTTGCGCTGCTTCGATTGCAGTTATGTCCCAATGACAGACCTCCCCAATGCGACTATGATTACTCTTCTTAGGTTTTGAACCTCCGCCAACTTGCGGAAGGCCTCGATGCTGCGCACTGCAGTTGCGAGTCCGCTGTCAAAACATGAGGACCCACAATTAACAGGGCCAAAGACAATCGGGATAGTGAATATGTCATCAAGGAGAAAACCAACAGTTTATTTGTATAGCAGTATGGTAGTTGCTGTTCATTAGAAGTTGGCTTATTCGTTATGTACGGTTTGCGATACCCATACTGGGAGAGGTGTGTTGGAATGTAGAATGTTCCCATAAAATCGACCGTTAAACCCAGGTGCAGTTCACTCGTCATCGGAATCAGTTGCCATTCTGTCCGCCTCTGCCGCCCCCGACACTTGTGACAGATCACCCTCCTCTCGCAATCTCGCTCCTAAACAGGGCGGTGAGACGGTCTGAACGCCGGGGGCCATGGGACAAGACACTCACTTATTAGTTCAGCGATGCATCCTTGAGTCTTACGTTGTAGTCTGTCCATTCTCTGTTCCAGATCTCGTTTCAAATCCCAGTTTGGCTTTTTCGGTGCCAAGTCGAGCAACTCCTGAAAGGACCCCATTTGCAGTTGAGCGGCAACCAAGAAGGAATTGGACAGAACCACGCACCACTTCTCTTTTCCGCTTCGCCTCCGTTTCCAACGCTATACGCGCCACCTCCTCTGCGTGCTCTTCAACTGTGGCCACCTTGCTCTTCCCCTCGCGTGCATTTGATGCGGAAGTGGCCTCTTGGATATCCTCCGCAGGCGGAGATCTGCTGGCACAGCGTTAGCTCTAACCGCTGTCTACTCGAACAAGATGACAGTCCCTACTCCTCCGACTGATCCCCATGGCTGTGGCTTGTTTCTTGTCCATATGTACGCTTCTCGCTGTGAGCACTTCCAGCACTACTGCGTAGTGCTTTCAAAGCCGCCAACCGCTCCTTACGCTTCTTCGCCTCTTCCTGTAGATCTAGCATGATTCACAATGCGCAGCCGAAGTCCTGGAAGGCCTGGACAAGCTTGCGCTGAAGACTCCAGAGCACAGAGTGTATGGGCAGTTTGGCTGGGAAATAGCTCCAAATCCTGATTCGCAGTGTACAGTATTGGCAATAATAAATGTTGAGCACGAACACTCATATGCGGATGGAACCACTTGGCGACAACCAGACAGAGCCAGCTGATTAGGGCTGGTTATAGTTGCAGTCGAACCGGGTGATTGAGCCCATCACATCGAAAGACGTACTACTGTACTGTACTGTACAAGGTCCTACAGTAGGTCTGATTCGAACGGTCTTTTCGGTCCGAGGATGTTAGTAAAATCAGAACTAGAGTAGGCAATAAGCATAAGAAAAACTACAAAGACATCATCGCGATTGCAGCAGTATTGTAGTAGCTTGGCAATTCTGGTTATCGTCAGGAGGTCCTCAGCGTCAGATTGGCATTGGCATTCTCCTCATGAAGTTGCGGATGCTGAGAGTCAGAATAAAGAGAAGGACAGAGAGAGAGAGAGAGAGATGGGGGGGGGGGGGGGGGCTATATAGAATATGAGTGGGTGCAATGAGTCCCACCGTAGACTATCTGATGGCCACAAGGGTAGTTATCAATGGCTAGTGGACTATCTCTATTGTTTATCTTCATGAGGATTTCATATTGAATGTGATTACTTTAACTGGCTGTAACGCTACAATGCACCACGCGCGGGCGACGCATATATGATTTTGTATGGGGAAAATGTAAATTACATGGTGCTAGGGCAACCGTATCTGATACCTATGGCTAATGTCTGCTGAGGTCCTATGACTGGAAGGAGTTGTGCAATCCTATCACGTCCGCGGCAGCCGGTTCCCTGGAGTCTCTAGTGTTGTCGTTTCGTAGTCGTTCCAGATGGAGGAAATATTCTTCATCTATATCGCCTGTAATCCATTCGAATCATTACTTTCAATTACTAGCCTGACCGAGAATCAAGCCTGCGCAGCAAACCTGTGACATAACATCCATTGAACACGGATACATCAAACTGACTTATTTGGGGATTGAACTTGGCCACAGACTGAACAAGATCTCTGAGCTCCTGCGAGTCACAATGGATCAGTACGTGTCAGCAAAATAAATCGCGTCATCTTCTCACCTGGTAGATAACGCAGTCGGCACCGATGGCCTCTGCGACCTCGTCATCAGTGCGATTCCACGCAACCAATTCTTGACGTGTAGGCATATCAATGCCATATACATTAGGATACCTGCGTAGGAGATGTTATATAGACAGCGGGTGCACGCAAAGTCATCATTACTATACCGAATTGGTGGGGCACAAGATGCGAAGTACACCTTTTTTGCTCCGGCATCTCGAGCCATCTGAATGATCTCCTGCGAGGTAGTGCCCCTGACAATGGAATCTGTCCGTAACATGAGTAAATGCATGAACAGCGCACTTAGCGAGGTGCCTCATACCATCAACAAGTAGCACGTTTTTGTCGTGGAACTCCATATGCATTGGGTTCAGCTTGCGCCGAACAGATTTCTTTCTACAATTACACAATGTAGACGTATTGTGCACAATGAGCAGGCTTGCATAACTTACCTTAGCTGTTGACCGGGCATAATGAATGTCCTCCCAATATATCGGTTTTTAATGAAACCTTCCCGGTAGAGGATATTTAACTTGTAGGAAACTTGAAGCGCAGCGGAACGGCTAGTATCGGGAACCTGGCGTATTTCAGGCTAAGTTTGCGCTTCATACACATGCTCAGAAGGAGATGCTTCCGCAATGTACCGGAATCACCACGTCCACATCCATATGTTTCCCAAGCTTACGGAGAACGGCTTCGGCCAGAGCCTCGCCCATAGCCAGCCGCGCTTTATACACAGAGACACCATCCATAATGGAATCCGGCCGGGCAAAATATACATATTCAAAAATATCTGGGGTGAAAGGGTTTCCAGTAACGCATTGTCTCTTCGTGATCCCATTTTTGGTGATTATCACAGCCTCCCCTATTCATATAAAGCGAATCAATGAGTAGGTTGTATTCTTTCGCTCACATACGGTCGCCATACCAGGTTGAACATCAACATAACTTGTGAATCCTAGTGCTTCAAGCACTACGCTCTCTGAAGCCATCATATAATCTTTCCCCTCACTTGATTGCCGCTCACCATATATCAGGGGGCGGATGCCGTTAGGGTCCTGTTCCAATACGTTACGGATCATGAAGTTGCTTCTCAACCTAGAAATCATACGCACGCGAAAGCCCAACAATCCAAATCCCGCTATCATCCCGACACATGCATATCCACCTCTGCATTGCTTGTAAACGCCGCCCAATGCGGAAAAAATATCGTCCTCATTGACTCTAACGGCTCGGCATGAGTAACGGAGGATATAGTACTGAAGCGACATCAACAATACAATTCACTCGTACCGAAACTTTCCCGTCTTATTAAGATGATCGGCAAATATGTTTAGTAGCAGTTCCGAATCAGAATCCGTGTTGACATGACGGTGTGCTTCATGGTCAAGAAAATTCCGAAGTTGCTTCGAGTTCGTGAGATTTCCATTCTTCAATAGGGAATATCCTGAATTAGCTTAAAGGCAGTGTTTATCTACAAGCAGTGAGTACCCCATACGTGGGCAAAAACAATCCCGTAGGGACTGTTAACGTAGAAAGGCTGCGCTTCAGCATTTGAAGAGGTTCCTGCCGTGGGATAGCGAACTAGCAGAACTCCTTTAGGTCCCGTTCTTCTAGTGAAGAGCAAGTCCCCTCTTACCATGACCAACACCTAGTGACCCCTGCAAGCCAACGAGCTGTCGAGGTTCAAACACATCCCTCACCATTCCATTACCCTTGCACTGATACAATCGACCTTTGTGACCACAGGTAATTATACCAGCGGCATCCTTGAGCAAAAAGTATGCTTGGTCAAATCCTCAGGTCCGATCCCCTCAGCTGATCGACCTCACCTGGCCCCGATGTTGTAATAATCCGAGTGCTTCGTATAGCTCTGCACTGGCGCTCGCCGTCGAGTCGGCCAGAATCACAGCAGTGATGCCGCACATGTCCGCTGCTAATGTGTCAGACACTCAAAGCGTTTCGTTTTCAACTTCTTGATCGGACCAATTCGTGCTGCGCCACACATCTGAGTCACACCCAAAAGCCATACCAGGTGTGACCTGGATCCAAGGTCCGCCTTCTAATCTGTGTGCATTTGTTCCAACATTGCCATGCAAACGGACATGCCAGGGGCCAGAACCCCCCCACGGAATGGTGGGTACGGTTAGGTAACGGTCTGAAGAAGGCTACTTTACCATTCACTCACTCAACCCGGTCAACGCTAGCAAAGAGCCGGCTATGTAGGAATGTAGTAAGTCCAACCATCGCCCCGTCAGCTTTGCTGGCAGGATGCCGGACATTAAGCATATTCAACTCAAGGTCATACACGGTTATTGTAAATACGAGAACAGGGGTTGCGAGTACAACCATGACGCTGTGAGTATTATGAAATGTTAGAAAGACGACGGTTCTTGAAATTTATAGGATGCACTGGAGGGTGTTCAGAGCAAGCCGCCTTCGGGATCGCAGTCCAACTCAAGTCCTGTCGCAGAAACTAAAACTAAGCTGCGTGTCGATTCCCCCGTGTTCACTCCGACAAAATCGCTTGCTGGGGATATCCTCGCATCCTTTCCACCTAAAGCAAGTGGTGAGGCTGAGGTGCCATATCGTTACGGTCCCAAGCAGGTTATGCGCGCAGTTTCCTTACTGATGTGACATAGAACCAACAGTTGCCCAGCAACTACCTGCAGCCCAACGTGCGACGTACGAACAGTATGGCGCCGGGGACAGGTGTGTACAGGCGGGCGAGGTGCAAACGTCCCCCACCGTATTTAATGTGCGATATTGATACCGCAGCGAAGTGCAGCCGTTTGAGCTGTCACCATACAATCGCTCTGGGTCTGTATCAACGAGCACAGTCCACGATCCTGCCTCACCATTTGTGGTGCCCCCTCCACAAGTCGGAATCTCAGACTTATCTACTTTGGGCCATTCCATGAATCGAATGAGTCTCAGTGGACAGCAAACACTCACGGAGCGACCGGTGCGTGTACCTTTTAGCTTAGATCCAACTCAAATTTGCTCAAGAGTTATCTATCCCTTAAGAGCTCACAGTCGCATGCATCCTATTACCAGCAAAATGCACAGGTAGATCCATACTTCGTGCAGCAACAGCAACAGCAGATGACGGTGTTGGCACCTCAGCAACCGGTACGCTTTTCCTAAGCCCTGCATAAGTACTTCTCCGAACGCATTCATAAATAACTCATAATCCAACAGCTTCAGTACCATCTCTACAGCTCCGCCCTTCCCCATATCTCTAATCTTCATCCACATCAGAAAACCATTCACGCCTTCTTTATGTCCGACCGCCTAAGAGAAGAACTACAACGGAAAAGCGAAGCTGTGCAACAAGTTTTGGATCCGACCTGTAAGCTGCCTCTCCATGAATCCAGAACGCCAGATTAACGTGAATAATTGCTGGATATCTAGCGCCTGATTACCAACAGTTACCGGTAGAAATACATCATTATCACACCTTCTATCCATTAGACTTGCATCGCGATAGAAGCACCAAGGTTTTTGGGTATCCTACATGGGTTTACAAAGCCTTTTCTTCCATCGATGGGAAGCCTTACGTATTGCGAAGGGTCGAAGGTAAATTTGAACCGGCACAATATAAGCGATCTTCTCGAATCTCATCATCCTTGCCTCAGGCTTTCGATTATCAAATGAAGGTGCGATGTCGAGTATAGAGGGATGGCGGCGAATAAGGCATGCAAACATCGTGTCAATCCGGGAAGCATTCACCACTAAGGCTTTTGGTGATCATTGTGAGTGAGCTCTCGCAGAGTTTTGCCGATAAAAGAAATTAGTAACATTATAATCCGAGTAGCATTAGTTTTCGTGTATGATTATCATCCTCTTTCGACAACTATTTATGCAAAGTATTTCTCACACCCATCACATTCGAACACCGGTGTCCCGGAGAAGAACCTATGGAGCTTCATAACGCAGCTAGCCTCAGCATTGAAAACTATTCATTCGGCTGGATTGGCAGCGAGAACTATTGAACCGAGCAAAATACTAATGACAGGAAAGAATAGGTACGGCTCGGCCATTCGACTTTCACGTCAGTTGATGATCGGGACCAACCCCGTATCTCCTTAAGGATACGATTAAACTGTTGCGGAATCTTTGATATGCTCACGTATGATGCTGGCAAAAATATCCCAAGTCATCAGGTACTATTCTTTGCTACATAGCGTCGATCCATAGTCGTCCAGACAAATTGGTGACGGCTATTCCCCGAAGCAGCAAGAGGACTTGCTTCACTTTGGGCAACTGATCGTTGCCCTTGCATGTGGCTCTCTCGCAGCCGTTCACAACCTTCCCAAATCAATAGAGTACATTGTTCGCCACTATTCTGTGGACATGAAGAATGTCATCCTATATCTTCTGAGCAAGCCGAGTAGCTACAAGAGCATAGACGATGTGGTCACCATGATTGGACCCCGAATTCTGCACGAAATTAACAGTGCTCATCAGTAAGTGGATGAAATATTCTTGTACTTTTAGCTACGTCCATATTAACAGTAGTTAGCTACAATGACCTTTTGGAAGGTGATCTTTGCCGGGAATTGGAGAATGGTCGCCTGGTGCGTCTACTATGCAAACTAGGCTTTATCAATGAGCGACCAGAGTATGTTATCACGTGCCACATTCTTTAGATGATAGCAATCTATACTAAGACTGAGCGTTTTAGATTCAACATGGATCCGACATGGACGGAGACCGGTGATCGATACCTGCTAAAGCTATTTCGCGACTATGTCTTTCACCAGGTAGATGAAAATGGAAGTCCTATTGTCGATATGGCACATGTTATCCAGTGTCTAAATAAGGTTAGAGGCGTGTTGCAACTGGAATGCAATAATGCATTGCTGATTATCCTCATTTGCAGCTGGATGCTGGTATCGATGAGAAGCTAATGCTGACCAGTCGCGATGAACAGTCCTGTTTGATTGTCACATACAAGGAACTGAGGCATTGCATAGAGAATACATTCCAGGAGCTACTTAAGCAACAGTGATCTGGATGATTGACTATGTGACAGCATAATAATGGCTCATTAATACACTGCAAACTTGATTTATCAAATTTTCCCCATTGTGAATAGATGAGTACATGATCAATATCCACCAGTAGATATTGATTTCAATTCCTTTTAGGATTATTTACCTTAAATATTAGATATGCTTAATATAAAGATATTTAGGAAATTGTAGTGATATGAAATGCCTGGGGATGTCACAGACTAGTCAGATGAGGGCATGTGGATGTTTATCTCAGTTTTTGAGATGGGAAATGCAGCTACCACAACCAAGAAAAGGGGTGTGGTGCCCACAATTACTGCAACTTAGACTTTTTTTTAGTATATTTTATACAACCCATGCAGGAATTTGACTGTCACCTAATTGGAAAGTATTGGTATTGCCACCAACAAATCAGTTATGGTGATGCTGTAGTTTTAGCATAGGAATTTATCCAAGAATTATGTATATAAGAATTTATTCAACAGAGCAAAGTTGCAAGGCAGAAGCCATAGCAACACTAAATCCCCACAACCAGCTTCTCAACCCTAACCCTAGGTTTACAGGGACCTAACAGAGCACTTCAATGGCCTGATCACCTGCACCAAAGCCTCTAAGTCCTGCTCAGTTCACAATTAACCAAATCCCTTGCTGTGAAAGGGTGGTGGTGCAAAGCTCAATATGTGACAAGATGTTGACACAAGTACACCATCCTCTTGTAGGTTCGGGCCATGGAATCTACCATACTGTAACTATCCTAACTACTGGGCAAGAGCTGGAGTGCTGTAGTAGAAGGTAACTCTATCCAGTGACTTAGGTGATACAGCAGTACCTATGGCCTAGTCCATCTGTACCTCAGTAAGATGGGTGCTAGTAGTGAGATCCCATGGAGGGATTAGTATATGGCTTTATGGCATACTAGGAACTAACTATCTGTCTTATATCTCTGAGTTAATCTGTACTGTATTGTCATCTACAGTTCAGCTTGTCCTTCTCCTGGGGGCCCTGGGGCTCAGACATCCCTTTCACATGCCCAGACTACCCAGAGCCACCAGAAAACCCAGAAGACCCAGGACCCCCAGACTACCCAGAACCACCAGAACCCCCAGAACACCAGAGAACCCAAGAAGTCTAGACAACCTCAGAGGCCTAGAGACACCACAGAACCCCAGAACCACCAGAACTCCCAGGACACCAGAGAATCCCAGAGCCCTGGGAGAACCCAGGACACTAGAGAAACCCAGAAACCCCGGACACCCCAGGACACCAGTAAAACCCATGAAACCCAGAACCCCCCAGTACCCCAGGAACCAGAAGTTGCCCCATACTCTTTGGGCAAGACACCAGGAACAGCTATCCCCAGGAACCAGCTCCTCATTGTCAATGGCTCAGCTCAAGGCATCCCAGTCACCATCCTCTTGGACAATGGAGCTGACCAGTTCTATGTCTCTCAAGACTTTGTGAGGAAGGCACAGCTTACTGTTGAGCCCCTGGCAGGAGCTCAGATCACCATGGCAGACAACAAGAAGTACCCAGGAACTGTTGAGATTCAGGCTTAAACCACGCTGTATGATCTATAAATCATGTGAGATCATGCTGGGATGTCATTAGACAGTTCACATCTGATTTGGCTAAGTTACAACATGGGGAATTGGACTTAGAGTAATCAGAATGATCACAGACGCGTGTGTGAATGATTTAAAGGGGTAAATCATCATGTAAGCACTCTTAGAAGGTCTGGAAGGTTTGTGATGTTCTCTATTCTTCAGGTAATTGTTGCCAAGGCATGGCTGAAGCTGCTGAGCACTG